CTTCCTTTAAGCAGTTGGAGGTGGTGACCGAACTGCAGCCTCCACGCCAGCATATCCCGTTAGCATGGCCTGTTGTGGCCCGGAAGCTGTACCACATGGAAATACTCAGTTCGTTTAGAAAGTCCCCACCGAGAAAAAAACCACTTGAACATCCAGCGACTTAGCTGATGCCTGCAGTGTCACAGAGGGGAAAGAGACTAAATGAAAGGAGCTGCCTCATAGAGACAAACAAGCAGTCACACTCACATTCACACCTACAGGTAATTTGAGAGTTGCCAATTAACCAAACATGCATGTCTCTGGACTGGTGGGGGAAACCGGACCACCCTGGGAAAACATGCAAACTCTGAATGGAATTAATGATAATGATGACAAAGAAATGTGAATTACTGGGAGACAAACTACCCTCCTCTCTCTCTCTCTCTCTCTCTCTCTGGCTGGATCAAACCAAAACAAATGTAACGAATGAAGAAAGGTGTTGATGGCTCTGTCATCAATCAGACCCACTGGTCTCCACTTTGTTATAAAACTGCAGCGATACAGTATCAGATCGCTCCCATCAGCCGCAGCATCAATCACAGACAGATTTCCAATAAAGCAGCGCATCAGTCCGGTCAAAGGCTTGTGTGAAGACGGGTCTTCGAGTCCTCACTGATGTCTCCTTTTTCTGGATCCCTCCTTGCTTCTCACAGAAATCCCCAATGATGGAAGGAGGAAGGAAAGATACGATGAGAAGAGGTCAAACAAAAAACGATAAATAATTTTATGCGTTATGAGGAAGGAAAAGCATGTTAGACTAGCTGAATGCTGCGGAAGTGCTACAACAGAACAAAAAAGATTTGGGGACTTTATCTCGTAATTATGAGAGAAGGTTCATCAGTCATGGGTAAGACAGTGGCATCGTGGCGTGACTTGATTTAATTGTCTGTCCTATACAGGACACCTGAATATGAGCTTAAATATCAATGTGTCATATTTTTATAAACAAAGTGTTTTGGAAAACGTCCCATCAAACAATAAAAGCCTTCACTCTGACCAGATGTACATTTTTACAAGAAACAGGAAGTATATCGCCATGGATACAGTGTCTTGAGCCTTGTTTTTATTAAGCTTTTACTTGTTAACATTTTTGAAAAATGAAGTACGCTGAATTAGCAATAAGATGTTCCTCTTTTCTGTGTACCATTGGATTTACTGAGAATAATCACTGAGTGACTGATACTGCAGAAATCTTAAAAATGAAATTGTGAACCATTACTCTGCTCTATTCGTCTATTGTACATTATATTATAAGAGATCTCGTTGGCATTTTCTGATTAACACTAAACACAAAGTGCAGCTGGGGCTGCTGGGAATGTCATTCAGGAATTTTGTAGCTATTTCATCATAAACCAAAGCATTAAATAAATTCAAATAGTCAGCTGATAATAGTTCTGGATGTAAGAGGATCACTAAAGTCTGTAATCTTATTCAAATCTTTAAGAGAAACGCACCTTCATAGGAGACAGAATCATCGTATCATGGAGTCTGTTTGTTAAAGTAAGATCTGTGTTTGCTTTAGAAATGACAGCCCGCATTTATCACTCTGACACTTTCATCATCGTCATCATCTTGTGATCTGTCTCCAACAGAAATGTGCTGATGTCTGGAGAGCTCATTTTTAATTCTCATACTTCAGCTTTGGAACTGAATTTTTCTTATTTTTCCTTCACAGGAAAACGGAAAAAACAAAGTCATTGGGTTTCGTGTCCGTTTACGGCTTTTCACAGGGTCACTGACATTTCTCAAAGCAGATGAAAACACCAAGTGGATGCATCAGAAACAAGACAACAGTCAGACAAATCCAGTCTTCAAGGCATTGTAAAACAATCACCATCATTTATTTACAATATATTAAACTGTAATGCAAAATTTATACCAAGTGGTCAATTTGTTCAATAATGAAAATAAACATGAAGTATTTCCAAAGCTAGCATGAATCATACACATATTTATATATAAATACTGTGTGCAGTCATCAATATCATGTCTGCTCTTTAGTTTCCTCCTGTTGTAAAGCCAGACACTTTATCAGGGTCGATCAAAAAAACACATTTCCACACTTGTGTCGACTGCATAGAGAATAAAAATGAAGACCCAACTTCTCCCACATTGAACATCGACTAATTTTTTTTTTCTCAGCTCCAAATGCCATGTCACGCTCTTTAAATGGCTTTCAATCATATCTTAATGCTACTCAGTAAATACCAGACGGACGACCAAAGGGTGTGATGTAACACTTTAGCAACCATGAAAATGCAGGTTCCTATTTTCTTGCTGTTTAGAGGCATCGCTGGGTTAAAAAAGAAAAAAAAAAAACACAAAGAAAACCTGACAGATGAAAAGGCTTCAAAGCTGCTGAACATGATTTCACAGTATCGGTTAGACAGGCTGTAGTATGTCCAGTTAATGAAGATACAGTTAAAGTACCCAATGAGGCTTTAAAGGAGAAGTCAGGTGATATTCTGGATCTTTCTTACTATCATCCAAACCCATGGAAAGACGTGAATCCAAAGAAATCTCAGTTAATTTTAATGGAATCGCTGCGATCGACGAATCTGCACCAGTGACCAAGAGCAAATCGTCCTGAGAGTCCAACACAGAAGCAATCATGGGCCGGTCGATCCCTCATTTATGATTCAAAACTAACTATTCAATCTATAATAAGCTGTTTGGATTCTTAATTCTCAGGATGTGCCTTTCACTGTCACTCTGATCTACTGCTTATCTGTAAACTTGGCTAATGTTGTTTTTTCGCTAGCACAAAATGAAGGAAACCAGCTCGCCATTATGGCTGAATAATCATGACACTGAACATGGATAAGTCAGGGTGTTTTCTGACTTTGTAAAATGCAACTGTCTTACATGGTAATGTTAGCTTTTCACTTGTGGTGTGTTCAGATTAAAAGAGGCTGTTTGTACGTTTTCTCTGCCACCGAACGTGGTTTCTTGCCGGGAGCAGGTGGTGGTGATCGTATCTTGACAAGAGCTTCAGCCATCGTTGTCTTTATAATACAAGAGGTTATAATTCGTCCTCTGAGTAGTGCTACATCTTAAGGGCACATTGACGGCTACAGCGAGAAGCTATAGAAGGTGACGAGACGTGCTAATCTGGGCAAGGGCTAGCTGGTTAGCATGCTAACTTCAATGAAAGAAAAGACGTGAAAGAGACAAGAGTTAACATTGGTGTTTCTTTCCACTTCTGGAGACAGATGTTGGTGAGTAAATAAAAGAAGTTTGATGCTAAACTCGCAGCATTTCTTCTAGACTGGTGAGTAAACCGCTGCTAATGCTAACATTTGCTATGTAGAAACAGCAACACTTACAAATAGCTCCTTTAATCAGTACAAATCATGTGTTGGTTTGAATTTGTTCTTTTGAAATAAGTGATGGACCTATAAATAACTAATAACCAATAATCAACAAGCTAGCAGAGCTGTTGTTATTAATAGCCATAGCATGTTGCCAGTTTGCTAAAAACCTACAGTGAAAAGCAATTCAGGGAATTACTGAACTTTTTATTTTATTTTATTTTATTTATTTATTTTTTTAAATCAAACCATATATCTACAACTAATTTAAGGATTTGCATCCATCAGTAGGAATCAATACTGAGAATTGAAATCTCAGAAAAACCTGATAAGTTGACCTTTAAGCTAAGAATATTTTCATATACAAGAAAACTCACGATTAGCTCGAGTCTTTCCATGTGATTTGTTCACAATAAGAAAAATACAGAAGAAACACCAGCTTTTTTCTTTAACGTGCTGGTTGAGGAAACCATATGCTCAGTGAGAAACAAATGACTGGTGCCCAAGGTTAAATAAATTCCCTTTGGAAAAGTAAAGCACATCAAACTTAAAACAAAACACAGATGGCGTGTTTACGACAAGCACAAGGACAGAACCCAAGTCTCTTCATCTCTAATTCCAGCAAGTACGTAGTCAAATCAAGTCAAAATAAAAATAAGACAAGGCATTTCACCGAGGTAAGCTCAAACCTCGTGGAAAGTAATTTGCTTGACGGCAAAACAAATCTATCAAACATCAATAACAAAAAGGGAAAAAAAAAAGAGCTTCGCTTTCATGGCGGAGCGGTAAGTGATGCAATCCTCTTCCCCTGTAAAGAAGAGATAAATTGCCAGCGAAAGGCAGAAAACTTTTCAGGCAAACAAAAAGCAAGCAGATGATAATGAGAGTATCTTCAGTGTACGGTGCAGCAGTTCATGAAATGCCACAGCTGCAGCGAAGCCAGCTGTAAAGGAGCCCACTTAAGTCAAATGGCACTTATCCCGAAAAGGAAAGAGGAAGCAGAAAAAAAAAAGCTGGAACTTTTCCCAGGATTCAGCATCAATTGGCAATAAGTAAAACAGTGTGCACACATACTTAGAGAAAAGGCTTTTTTGGCAATACATTGTACTATGGCAATACATATTATTGTGGTGTACTATATGTAAAGAAGAGAGGAAGAGTGACAGAGACAAAGAGAGGGAAGGAAAGAATCTACTATAATTGCAACCTCAAGTTCTTTGGCTCAGTTACAACCATTGCTGGAGTTCAACAGGATGGCTGCTCAAACCAAGCAACTGCTGCTTGCATGCAACCAGCAGAGTGTTGTCGTTAATAGAGGAGCTGCTGTGTGTGCAGTGAGGTTAGACTGATGAATGAGGAGTCATAACGACCGTGGAGTTCGTCAAACTGTGAGCGAATCCTGTAAGGATTTCTGAGTGTTAGGAACATCTACAGTATGTGAACGTCTGCGTTTCCTTGCAGCTGTGTGTGTGTGTTTAGGGTGTGTGGTTGTGACCAGCTGATCAACTCTGCATGCAAACTGTCACAGTTGAGTGAGGGTGCGTTTCAGAGGGTGGATGTTGACGACAGCGAGGGACTACGACGTGGTCTCGTCAAGCCTGTCCTCGCCGCCGTCGTCGTCTTTCATTTGGCTTCTGTATCGAGAGTAAGAGCCCTGGGTCGCCCCGCCTTCTTCTTTTTCTTCTTCCTCCTCCTCTTCATCAGATCTACTGAAGTAGTAGTGTCTTCGACCAGGGGGGCTGGAGCGAGAAAAGAACAAGTGGAAGATGATGTTATCCAAAACTGAACAGAAAGTAGTGAAGTGGCTAAGAGAGCTCAATTTGCTGCAATGTAAAAAAAAAACAACAAAAAAACAAAAACAAATGTGGAAATGACATCATCGTCACTTTGACTACATTTGGCAGAAAAAGGGTTCATAAAATTTGTTTTGAGAAAAATATAAAATACTGGCAGTTTTCTTAATGACCTACCAGGTGGGGAAAAGCAACGACAGGAAGAGGTGAAGCAACAGAGAAACTATTTAGTCAGATCAAGAAGCTGATGTAGTGCATGAGAACGTACGGTGGCCCTGAGAGCTCAAAACACTGCAGGTTAAGAAAACACAAATAGACAAGTGTGTTGAGCTCTCAGGGCCGCTGTAAGAATGAGACTTCTGCATTGACCTGTAGTTTTGCTGCAGTACATCTTCCAGCCACTGGCAGCAATGAGCGAACTGTGGCTCTGTTGTTACTTCACACTCACCTGACACTGTTTTTCTTGCACCTGGGAGGGTTGCCAAGAAGATCACCTACTTGTTGTTTGTGTTCTTGTGTTACAGTATGTTAAGCTCTCCAAACCACCACAGAGCAGCTGTGCGTTTAGCCAGGTTGCGAGGTTAGCGTTTCCTCTAGCATCCGGCGGAAACAAACTCTCACTCAATCATGCATTGTGGGTACCATGGTAACATGCAAAACTGTTTCCTGTTAATATGGTTTACGAAGGGATTCAATCGATGCCATTCAAATAACAAAATGTCGTGATTCCATTCTCAAAATGTTCAAAGAAGAAAACAAGAAACCAACTCAAAAGTGAGACAAATGATTACCAATATCTAAACATGATTAGCGCCATCTTTGTTAACATCATCTCAAATTTTCCTAATGAACTCTGACACAAGAAAAATCTAATCCCATTACCAGTCTACACGCAGCTTGGCCCAGCTCTTTAATTTTATTTAAGAGTCAAACAGCTTAAATATTGCAAACTGGGGGTTAATTACTCTCAGCTGTGCATCTCAGATGAATTTGCTAGTTGGTGTAAATCAATGCTCGGGGTCTAATTATGCCTGCAGTTATGAGGCTGGAAGGAAAAATTTATTATGTTAATTGACTGTTATTTTTACCTTTCTGGCGCCATAAATCAAAACGACATCTTGGGAGTAATTTAAGGCTGAGTTAACATCCACGTTGAGCGTACCTCAGAGCCTCAACAGCATTAAAACCAGTAAAAAGACATCCACAGAGACCGGTCACAACTGTTTGACATCAAACTAAGAACGTGTAGTAATTCACAGCAAGAACTGTTAGCATGCTCAACAGAACAGGTCATCGAGAACGCAGCCAACAAATTAGAACTCCAAACTGTGACGAGCTAATCCCAGTCGGACTGAATGTGCTCATTGATAAGAGTGAAAATGTCTTTGATTGGTTAGATCACGTCATGCGTCAAAACCACTCTTAAAGGCAAGTCCTGATCAGGCAACCACCTACTGCCTTCCTCAGTCACTGTCCGGCCGGTACAGGTACTTCATCATCAGGCTGTCCACCTTCTTCTTCCTCTTCTTGTCATCCTTTTTCTTTATGGGCTGGCTCTCGCCCTGTGGCCCAGCTTCTTCTTCCCTCTCGGGGCTGGAAACCTTTCGAGATGGGGCCCTCTTCACGCTGTTGGAGCTTCGGTAGGAGATGGTGGAGGCACCAGAGCTGGACTCTGACTCGGAGTCTGACTCAGAATCTGAAGATGAAGAAGACGATTCAGACGAAGAGGATCGATCCCTCTTCTTGGACTTTTTCTTGGACTTCTTGGACCTCCTCTTGGAGCTGCTCCTATGACGGCGCTCATCTCTTGAGCTGTCGGACTCGGAGCTGTGGCTTCTTTTCTTTTTCTTACTCTTGCCTCTGCTCTTGCTGCGATGGCGACTGCTGCAGCTGCTGGCACTGCGGGCCGATCTCATGCAGTCCACAGCGGATGCAGAGCGTCTTAGACTGCTGGCAGAGCGAGTCGTGTCTCCATTCCGGATACTTTTGCTGTCGTCTTCATCATTCTTGGATTTTTCTTCCTCACCCTCCGAGTCTTCCAAGCTAGTGCGCTTGAACTTGATAGGCTTAAAACTCAGCACCTCATTGATGGCTTTCTCCAGGTCAGGGTCGAGGTAGTTGCGATGGCTTACTGGTTTGATATCTAAATTATCAATGGGGTCATTATCAGCAGCTGACGATCTGTCTTGTGGTGGTGGCATGGACAAACTGCGGCCAATGGACGAGTGAGGGCTGTACGCCGACCTCTCGGTGAAGGCCACACTTCGACTGTCGTCGATATCAACATCAAACTCGCTCAGGCGGCAGCTGCGTGCCAGAGACATACGGGATTCAGCTCGGCTAACACTTCCGGGACTGCGACCCCCAGACCGTCTGCTAAAACAAGGGCTACTGGGACTGCTGCCGTATGTTGACCACCCACCTCTGCCCTCATCTACGCGCGAGGTGCTTCGACGCTGTCCACGTGGGCTTGACAGACCTAAGCTGATGGTAGATTTAGCATCGTTCTCTGGGCTTAACCCAAGACGTGTGGAGGCCCGGCTTGGTGCGTTGAATGAGATGGTTGATTCTTTGTCAAAGTCCGCCCAGCGACTGTCCATGCCTTTCCTGGCTCGGCTGTTGGCCTCTGAATAGGCCTGGGAGATGACGGATTCTCTGTCCTTTATGTCATCTCCTACCTGGGACTTCCTCCTGGAGCTGACCGAGTAGGTGTCATCTTGAAGATCCAAGCTTTTGGATTTGGCCTTCGAGAAGCATAGAGCATCTTCCGACTCGGCATTCTCCTTGAGGGCACTGAAGAGGGCGCTTCCTTTGCCCCCGATGGAATCAAGGTTGGATCGTTTTCTGTAGCTAAGGGAGCTTATCGGTCTGCTCGATTCTATGTCTTTGCCCTCTTTATTTACCTCTTTCCATTCCTTACCCTCTTTCGACTCTTTCCCTTCCTTTGCGTCTACATTTACAGCACATCTAGAAAGAAACAACAACGGAAGGGAGGAAGGAATGAAGACAGTGGGAGAGAAAATGTTAGAGATGAGACATCGGGACAAGAGGAGGTGAGTTAAGGAAGAGAGTGAAGAGAATGAATGAAACTTGACAAATCATAAAAACAGAAATGTGATGAAGAAATGTAAAAGATGACATTTAACAAAATGGGAGAACAGTAAAGAGCAACTGGAGACAAATGACTCGGGACTAACGAGGGTTTTTCCTGCACTGAAATGTTAAGGCAAAACAATATTATGACCCACCAAGGACAAATGAAGCATCAAAATGAGTCGAGTATGAATTTTATTTTAGTTGCCAAAAAACTAAATCTAAATACTGTAGATTTGATAAAGGATTTTAATTTGGTAATCCCATTCTCTCTAGATTCTCTACTAGATTCAGATTCAGTGAATTGGTGCTGAACCCCAACACAGAGGAGAAAGCATTCCACCACTAAAAAGCTGCAGATATTCTCCAGAAATTGACAGACAAGCTTAGAAATAAAGGATTGAAGAAATTTAGAAAGAAGCCAGAGTATGTCCCACATTTGAGAGGTGAAGTTTCTGTTGCGTTTGCATGACTGATAAAGTTGGCTTAGCGTAGCCCTAAATCAAACAGCTGTGTCCCGTTTCAGGGGCCACATCCTTTGGAGGACGCCGTCTACGAAGGGATTTAAGGCCCTTGGTTTTAACAGCTGTACTGTTAGCTGTTGAACTGAGCTAAAACCCAATACTTACATTTAAAAATGTAACTCAGCCGTTCTGTTGGTGTTGTTTGCTGCCATATTATTTTCTTTATTAACGGTGCGCAATGAATCTTGGGATCGGTTGGGCCACGAAGGTTGATCCCACCAAGGGATGTGGCCCCTGAACTGGGACACAGCTTTTATGTGCTTTCATTGGAACAGAGAGTGTTTTTTATAGTTACATGGGACTTTTATGCAACATCCATATTTTTTCTATCGAGCATAATGTTGAACAAACGTTGTGTATGTTTAACACCGATCCTAAATAATGTATCCCTGTGAGCATTACAGAATATTTGGGTAAACTGGCTGAAAACTTTTTCCCATGTGAATTTTAAAGTAACTCCATAAACACTTGAGTAGTTTTCCTGCCTTCTCTTTTGTCGGTCTGTTCTTTGCTTCATTACTGAGAGGACTCGTACTCGTGTACCTGTAGAAATGGCAGTTTAAGTCACTTGAACTCAAACGCTACAACTGCGAGGTCCAGTGTCGGCCAGCTCTATGAATCAGTCAGTTTCTGCCTATGGGGACATGCTGCTAAGAGACATTTAAAAACTCCAGAAGTTTTTTAAAGTTGGAAGTGGCTCAGCTGAGGGAGGGAAGTTAAATCTTCTGGTAAGGAGACAAATCTGGGGCAATTGAAGCTGTCAGCTTGCAGACACATCCATTAATCTCAGCGAGTGGCTCAGGTAGACTATGCCAGCTGGCCATTGGGCACGTCGATAAATCTACCACTGAGGTGGTTTGTTTTTAGAAAAAAAAAAACCTCTCTTCATTGAGCGGGTGACAATGAAGACAAAGCAGCTTGAAAAATACATTTAAGCAATAGCGGTCCTGTCATTTCAGCCAAAGTACTTTGCTCAGATTGCTTTATTTCCTCTGGGTCTGATCACATAAACCGTATCATCCAGTCAGACCGAGTGTGAAAGCATATAAATGTTTGGGTCGACTGCTTACTATCAGCTGCTGAAATGGTTCTTATAGCAGCTGCCTTTGTACTGACCTGGAGCTCTTGAGACTGCCGTCATCCGAGAGGTTCTTTGCAGAACCTTTGCTTTTGGACAACCAGGACTTCACCCCGTCCACACGATCCTCCACCTCAGAGTCCGTGTCTGAATCCCCCTGACTGGTGAGCAGCCAGAGAAAGGAAGACAAGTCAGAGGAAGCAAAGGAAAGACAGAAGTCAGTTACGGCTAATCAGAGAGGAGAGAATAAGGTAAAAGAAATGTTAGTGTCAAAGGAGGGTCAGCGCTGGTAGAGAGGTTGCTGTACTCCTCTGTGGCTGTGGAGCCAGAGAAAGAAGACCAGGCTTTGTATGTGTTAGTGTGGCAGCAAAGGAGGACCGTGGCCTTTATTCTGGATAAAAGACAGCACATGCAGTCAGCTCAAACAGCTTCTGTAAACACCCAAACATGCCCACGACAGGCTGGATAGATATAAAACACCACTTGGCAGCTCCTCACGGTTGTCACGGTTAGATGAGTGACATCGTGGTCCTGCAGTCATGAGGCATCCAACAAGCATCTTACCTTAACTCCTCCCCAGCGACTTCAGAGACGTAGTTGCCCCATAACAGTTTAAAAAACCCAAATCACTCATGTTGCCGTGAAGGAGTACTGCAGATATTTAGTATTGCACTTCCATCATCTTTCGGGGGGGGGGCCCTACACTTCCTCAAATGCAACTTGATAGAGGTTTCTTTGCTCTTGGTCAATCTCTGCGACTGTTGTCTCTGACTGACTCATCATCACCTGCCATATGTCTGCCTGACACTACTGCACACATTTAAAATAAAGACGAATAAAGTATTTTTTTTGGCACAATAGGCAGCTGCATGGAATATGATAAACTGCCTCTAGTGATGTCACTTGAGTCAGCGTCAGAGGTGTAGAATTAGAAAGAAGTGAGAGACCTCTGTGGTCTTCTGCTTGAGGCTAGCTGCTCAGAGCTACATTAGCTACAACTAGCATAACACAACAGAATCTGCAAATGAATTTTTATATGGTCAAGTTGCATTGTGGGTAATGTAGGCACCAGGTATTGACAAGGAAGAAAAATTAATGGAATTTATCAGAGCAACTGATTCACTCAGAGAAATTACACTTGTCTTGCTCTGGACATTGTACAGTTGGTTTTATGGTGTAGTGGATTAAACTGACTGTGACAGGTGACAGGTGACAGGTGTTTCCCTTTAACTGTGTATTGTCAGAGAGCACAGAAGATCTCTTGCATATTGTCTCACTTAGTTCAGTTTATAATACGTTTTCTGTTTGTGTACCAGTGTAACATTCCTGCATAAAGCTGATGAAGATTAGACTGAACCTTCACCGTGTTTGCAAATGTTCACTTTGTTTGTTGTCAGATGTAGAAATGACTCCATAACTTATCATAAAATATGGCGACGATTATGAAAACAACACACACCTGTGTTAAAAAAGAAAAAGAAAAAGAAAGAAAACTGCACAGCCGCACTTTCTTTTAACTGCACAGCAGAGTGGCAGAAAATTTCATCATCAGGCCTGTGCACGCACACACACACACACACACACACACAGTCATATGCATACACTCATAATTTCAGTTCTTGACAGAATGATTTGGTACACAGCTGGGCACTGCACTGTTTTTTCTCTCAATTATCATTACACGTTCACAAACCACTGCGAGCCACGGAGTAAAATAGAGGGGCTTGTCATAAAATTTGACACGGATGAAAAGAGCACAACACTCATTAAGTGCCGTCAGAGCCCAGCGCTTGTGTGGCGCTGTGAAATTAAGTTGTTACAGCTTAATAGTCCTACAGAGACATCAGAGGGGTGGCTCGCCATCTCTGTTTCATCTCCATCTGTTTCAGAAAGACTCCCATCTTGTCGACGAAGAGAGGGAAAAACATTCTTTCTCTCGCAGAGCTCAGAACGACCCTGCACCACCTATAATTAAAATCATTAGCAGTCGGAGAGAAAGCTCCCTGGATTTCAAAGGGGAGAATCTATACAATGACTTGCCCAGTGAAATCCAAATGCAAATGCCTGCGAGCTTTTCTAGAATACAATAACCTTGGGTGGTAATGCTGGGACTGCATTCACACCAAAGACAAGAGGAGAGAGACGGGCCAGAGGAGGGGGCAATGGGCTCTTAAGCTCTAATTAACTTTGCAGTACATGCCTCAACTATTAGACAATCTGGGGATTTACTGCTGCCCACTGTTATGATGACAGAGCAGCCAAGTGCCTCTGTCTTTGGCACTGCAGACTTGTCAGAAAAGACTGGGCAAACATCACTCACTGAGGGGGGAGGATGCTCATGGGGGGAGTGGGAGACATGTTTCTTTATCTAATGTTTCACATTAGATCTGCATGTTTGTCAAGTTTCAGCGACTCAATTCTTCCCTACAGTGGGCCTGGGTGAATAATTATATAGATGCATTTTGTGTTTCAGTTGTTTTTTTGTTTTTTTTTAATAAAACCTAATATTTTTTACAATATATAACTATGTTAATGTATTTTAAATGTCAGGTTTAAGCGATGCTGCCACTAAACAGTAGTTCAATGTCCAGTAATTTAAAGCAGTGAAATGAGGGTCAGACTCGGCGACAGGGCAGACTGTGCAAAAAAATTCAATATCATGATATAATGAAAAATATTAAATATGGCGGAAAATATCGCCATATGCAATATTATCAAATATCGACCAAAGCATACCGTGCAGCCTAGAATTACCGTTTAGCTTCCTGGTATTTTATTGCTTCCTTCCACTTAACACGTTTTTTTTTAATGAATGAATTTGTAAAGGTTTGTTCAAAACTTTTCTAAACTTTTTTCATCAAAAGAAATCAAAAATATGTGTAATAACAGCCGCCGTGTCTTTTTTCATGCCGCCACTGGGGGGCGCCAAAGTCTGAAATGTTCTATAAATTCTACCCACAGGAGCTTAATGAATTCTGTGAAGTCGGTAAATACAACAGGCAAAATCCAAATAATAATCAGTTTTCAAAAGTGTTACTGTACGCCAATTAGTATAATAATATTATATCAATATTACATATTAATATTATATATGATGTAATCGAGGGAAGAGACTAAATGTTGCTCTCGTCCTCCAACTGAAAAACTTTTTATGTATTATTCTCCAAGACTCTTATCCGTGTACTATTCCATGATGCATTCAGAGCGCAGGGAGACCTATCAGGTCTACAGCCAAAACCAAAATGGCAGGTTCTATGTAACTGAGCACCCTCATACAGGGTGTCATCTACAATTTATGTCCCTGGCCACTATACCATTAGTTAAGCCCTGCTGAAAGCCTTGGGGAAGCAAACAAACATAGTGCTGAAGAGACATTAATTGTCTGTGACATTCTGCCGCCATTGGTTGTACATCTCTGTTACACACTATTACATTCATCATTAGCTTCTATGGATCGTCCTGCTGCGTTCTACTCGGCTTTGCTCCTCTGTGTCCCTGGGTCTTATAGACGCCGCTGTTTACGTCTTCGATATATGAAGCTGTCGGCCACCGTGAAGTCCCTGTGGCTCTGGAGCACGGACAGGCATATGCATCCTCTCAGAGACCATCAGGAGAGCACAGAGTAACGTGAAGAGGTAACACTGTTTATCCGTGCTGCAGTGAGTCCATTGTGATATGAATTGCACACATTCAAATAATCATTTATCAGCTAAACTAGAAGCCAACCAGGCCAAAGTGATATTTTGTGTTAGTGGGTAGACCGGGCAGGGACTGAGGTATGACTGTTCCTTGGCGTGTCAGATTGGTATTAGGGGTGTATTCCTACCTCAGAAACCCACTGGATATGTAACTGACTTTGCTGATCATTAGCAATACTAGACCAGCCACTAGCGTATCTGCGCTAGCACAAAAACAGACTTGATGACATGGCTCTTGATTTTAATGATGGAGAAGGTTACAGGTTTAGAGCAGAGCAACGTTTTCTTGATACTGGAGAGTTTTGTTGGATTAGGTGTTCTGATGTGAATAATGTTTATGGTTAATATGTAAAATTGTGGATTGATATGTTTTGTAGACACATCAAATTAAATCGAATACAACCGACTAGTTAATAAGATTTCTATGTTTGCAAACTCACCTTGATGACATCAATAAATATTTCTATTAATAATAATTAGTCGCATGTAAAAACAAAATTTACAACTTAATACTTTTACATAACCTCCTGCTTTATCTTCCAGTAGCTGCAGAGCTGGAACACTCAGTAATGTGTAAATGCATTAGATATACGTCTGTCTGTATTTAAAGTATGAATGTATGGATTTTAGAAGAGCTTAATACAAATGGAATTATACTGTATTAGATTAGGTTTTTTTTATTCAAATGTGGCCGTGCTAATAGCTCATTATAAAAGCCCACTCTGTGCAGCTTTCTCACCATTAGAAAACCAAACACTGACAAGAGACTGGAGCCAGAGGTTAACAGTGTTAACAGCGTTAACCTCTGGCTCCAGTCTCCGTCTCATGTGTGCTACTTGTCTTGTGAGCACAACGGCTTTTTGTAAGACATTTGAGGATTCTGCATTATTAAGCAATAGCAAGTCAAAGATTGATGTGGAACACGCCCCCCCCCCTTCTCCCTCGTCAGGAGGGCAGTCACTGCCGAGCCACGGTCACACATCGAGCCCTGGAGCAGGGCGATGAAAAATTAAGAGCGCCCGGGGAGCGAGAGGCTGACGGGTCGGCTGCTGTTCAAACATAACACAGCAGCGTCCGACACGACGCCCTCAGACCGCGGCGAGGCGGTAAACACAGCTGGATCAGCCCCTCGGCGACATGAAGGGGGAACTGTGAGGAAGATCCAACCTTGCTTCGCAAAGTGGTTAACCATACGGGGAAACTGAGGAGGGAGGCTGGTTTCATGCTGGGGCTCAAGTAACATATTGTCAGTGGCATTCATGCATCTCAGCATGTGACGGCATGCAGTGAAGAGTGGAGCAAACTGGGGTTATGATTGAGCACTGTTGATGATGCATTATCCTGGAGTCTTCACAAATCAAATCCCTCTTGGATTTACTGTATCTCTGCCTCTTCCACGAGGCGTTCCTTCCTGTTGTGTGGGTCTGGAACTGAGCCGTCGCTCTTAAGATGCTGAGGGCCTGACAATAGTCGAGAATTATCACAGGAATCAGAAAAATCCCCAAACAACTAAATTGGCTCAGAATGCAAGATGCATCTTTTCTATTTCTTTATGTCAGAGGGAATTTTTTTCCTTTAAATGTGAGCTCTTTTCTTCAGTGTGACAGCCAGAAGTGATGGACTAACTGGACTGAAACTAAACCCTGAGAAAAACTCTGGGTTTCTCTTTCTGCACTATCAAACTCTCCACTAAATGTTCAAAGACTGTAGAATGCTGCATCATCTCCAGTGGTGAAATACAGCAACAAAAAAAAAGACCAGGGGTTCAAGTTCCTCACGTTCTGTTCTTCCTTTTCTGATACTTTGTCACCATGTCTTGCAAACTGGTGATGATGATGATGATGATGATGATGATGGGTGGAGGGACAGAGAAGAAAAGCAAACAAAAAAAAAAACAAAAACCAAAAGACAACACAAAATAAGAATCAAGTCAAAAATAAAACATCAAAGATGCTTAAAAATATCAGAATAATTATGGACGCTGCAGCAGATGCTGTGATGATGCACTTTTGTTCTGTCTTTTGGCAAACTCACTGTACGCATCACGTTTTGACTCAGCATGCCACCTCATCCTGATCTCGCATCTTGCATACAGAGCGCCTCACAGAATATTCTCATGACTCACAGTTGTTTACCGCTGCTGTGGAGAGGAGAACTCTCACTCTTTGCGGGACTGTATTGTAGTTAGTAAGGCTCAGCGTCCATCACAGAGAGTGATTATGTTTTCTTACAAGGAGCCTGGAGCTGGGTGTGAATAAGACAGTCTGACTGAGTCGTTCAGTTAAACCAGATATTAGCTGGGATAACTCCTGTCTGTATGAGGGGAGTCTTGATCTTGAGCAGTAACTGTGTTAAAGCTCCATATTTTCCTCTTCTTCTGTGTTTTATTTGAACCAAAAACCATCTCAATGTAGTTTTACATCTCCTCTCTCAGGCTTCTCTCTGGAGCTCTAGTAACAACAGGTCGGTGAGCCAATCAGAAGAGAGGAGGCTCTGAGCCTCTCTTCTGATTGGCTCACTGTTTTTTAAGTGATCCCTTAAGAATATTTCAGGTAAAAACCAAATCCTGCAAAAGTTGGCTGGTGGGTCCAGGTGGGCGGGGCTTGGTGACTGCTTTGTTGTGACATCACAAAGTTCCAGAAGTCCTGACGGCTGGTTTTAAGGCTCAGTTTCTGAATACAGGCTGTGTGCATTTCTCTGTGGACTGAGGCTTTGATACTTTCACAGTATTAATATAGAACCTAGACCTGATCTATAATCACACTACACATGGACACAGACCTTTAGACTATATGAGACCTTTAAAGGTACAACAAGAGAAATAAATGACCAGAAAAAATAATATCTGCAGGGCTTTGATTGGATTGTTGAAATGGCAGTATGATACATAGCAACAGAAAAGAAATAAACTTAACTTAAATGAGCAGTTCAATATTTTGGTAAATAAACGTATTTGCTTTATATGTAGAAATCAACACCGTGTCAGTACAGAACTGAAGTCAGGACGTGGTTTGCCCAGTTTAGCATAAAGACTAAAGGAAGCAGGGAGAAACATCGAGCCCGGCTCTGACTGAAGTTCAAAAACACACCTACCTAACACATCAAAAGCTCACTAATTAACATCCATCTTCATTGTTTGATCCACACACAAAGAAAAATGTAAAAATTTGGCGCCTAGCACTGAGCAATGTCTTTGAGCATGGGCTGGACGGGCCAGATACGGTCCAGGTTCTGGTCTCTGTGCAGGCATGATCAAACTCAGTGTGCCTGGCTGTTGTTGTTTAGAGAACAGAGTGAAGTAGAAAGACAGCTACGCATCAGACGCACTAGATAAAGTCAGGTCTGTTTACAGTCTCAAAGTCTGAGCAAGAAACAAACTGAAACCAATTCCTCAAATCATCAGCTACAAAGATGCACAAAAGTGGTGAGACTGTTTGACTCATCACGTTCGGATGGCACCAGGGACCTGGTCACCTGAGAAGGTACGCAGTCATACATCCTACAAGAAGCTGTGGATGACGACATACATGGAAGAATAATATTCTGGCAGTATCCGGACTAGACTATTAAGACTAGACTAGAAAATCCTTTCTTGATCTCGGGAACCAACTATCTTAAATTTAGGGAACACAACATGGTCTTCATCAGCAGGTCACAGTTTGAGTTGTCACAATGACAACTGAGAGTGTTGATGAAATTTGGTTAAAAGTGAACCGTGAGTCAAGCTTAACCATGATATTGTTTTCTAAAAGTATCAGCTGACAGTTTAACCCATTTTAATGATGAATGAGTAAAGACCAACCACCGACAAAGACGGCGATCTGCTGCAGAAAGTTCTGGAAAAAGCTTGGGAGTGGATAGATAATAAGATAATTATTATTCTAGTCCAGTTCAAACCACAGTTACTTTCAGCCTCCACTAGTTTTGGCTGCTAAGTCCTCGACTTTCTGACGCTCCAAACCTACAGGTTTGTTTTTTCGCACCTGTTAATGAGGTCTTCATTGTCGTCACTCTCCATCTCATCCTCGATGGCCGCCTGGAGGTCTCCGATCCTTTTGAAGGCCAGCTTGAGGTCTGCCTGCAGGCTCTGATTAGCAGCCTCTAAGCTTTCGATGTCCATTTCCTGACAATGAGACGAGAGAGAGAGAGAGAGAGAGAGAATGAACTTTTCAGCCAACCAGCAACCAACGTCGACGATGGTGGAAGCGTCATTGGTAATTCTTTGTTGGATGTCGCATGGTTACCAGCTCGTGTTTCTTGCGGCTGGCCTCGGCTTCCTTTTTGGCCAGTTCTCCCATCTCCTCTTTGACGTCGCGGATCTGTCTCTGCATACGCTTGTTCTGCTCCTTCTCTCGGTTCTCGCTGCTGCTGCGCTGATCTCGCTCCTCCATCAGCTTCTCCACGTTCTCCTTGAGACGAGCTACGAGGCTCTGCAACGAGAGAAGATTCAACATCGCAGGCAAGACTGGAAACACTTACACTCAGTAAGCACTTTATTAGGAACAGAGGACAAAGTTAATTACTGATGAGTTTATTTGTATCAATAATGCAGTGGACTTTCCTCATATGTACTTTATTGTTCAGCTGTGTTTAAGCAGATGACTATGAGGCTTTGAAATCTGCAGCGAGTCTTTATTCAGTCTGCCAGCAGAACACTTTTATCAGTGAGTTAGCTCCTGCATTAGCCACCCTGTCCACATTTCACATAGTGAGTGGGTGTTGTACTCTGCCTCCTCCTCACATCTGTATTGATTGAGCGCTGCTACCTCCAGCTTTGATGAGTTGTACTACTCAGGCAACCTGAAATATTCACTCACTGCGGTTTTAATGCTGGCGAGAAGCAATAAAAAGCAAACCAACAGCTAGAATGAGACGAACCCTTCGTCGTGTGTGTGCGTTTCCCAAATTCTGCACATTTCAACACAAGCTAGAAATCCACCTATGTTTTAAAATAAAATACATTCAATAAGTGAATGTATTTCTGTTGATTGTGGAGGACAAAGAGCAGACGACATGTGCCTGGTGCTGAGCAGTAATTACTAAACTGAACCAGCAAAAAGTGAGCACAGGGTCATTTTAGCAGGGAGAGAGGATCAGTCTCTCACTGGGAGTGTAGAGACGTGACGGCAACCTTTATTGTTCACGTGTGCTTTTTTTTTGTTTCAATCTGAAAGTAATTTGAAAAAGACAGAACAACAAATGCTACTGTAAAGCGAGAGTAACACAAGCTAGAAGATAGAGCTGAACAGCAGTGGTTCTGTCTAAGCTACATGTTCATCATGACCTTTCTCTCTCTCTCGCTCTCTCTCTCTCTCTCTCTCTCTGCAGTCATGCTCTGACCCCACGCTTCCACATGCCGGAGCTTCCTTTCCCAGACGCACCACCAACACCCCTCCACCTCTCTTTAGCTCTCACCTCCAGGCGTTTGACCTGGGTCTTCTCAAACTCCAGCTTGGTCTCCATCTCGCGGATCTTGGCCTCCTGCCGGCTGACGAGGGACTTCTCCACCATGGACTGCTCCTGGAACTCCAGCTGGCTCTGGAGGGCTTGCAGCTAAGACACACACATGCACATGTTTATGTTAATATCCTTGTGAGTGCCACTCACTGGCCAGAATAAAAGAAAAATTTCATTGTTATGCAGACAACACCCAACTCTATGTAGCAGTAGATCCTTATGACTTTAGCTCCCTGTATTTCTGTAAAGCAACATTATGCAGCTGTTTTACTTCTAAGGTCCATATTGTATAAAGGTAGATTTCCATTTCTTTCCTTGCCTTCCTCTTTTTTGGTTTTTAAAACCACAAATATATCTTCTTATGAGTCAACACTTTAAATAAAATACAGGAAAAGTGTAAAATATGAGACTTTTAAGAAGCAATTTGTACGTTTTCTCTGCCGCCAAATGTGGTTTCTTGCCGGGAGCGGGTGGCGGTGACTGACACTCGACAAGAGATTGAGTCGTTACGTTTATAAGACAAGCGGTTTTGATACGTCCTCTGAGCAGTGCTATGTCTTCAGCGCAGATTAGAGGCTACAGTGAGTCGCTATGGTTACGCTACAAGTGACGAGACGGGTCGGAGCTAGCTGGTTAGCGTGCTAACTACAGTAGAAGACATGATGGAGACTAGAGCTAACGTTGGCGTTGCTTCCCACCAGTAAGTAAATGAATTAAACTTGATGCTTGCAACGTTTTTATTCTTGACTGGTATGTAAACAGCTGTTAACGCTAACGTTAGCTATGTAGCAATAGCAAAACTTCCAAATAGTTCCTTTAAATTAACAGCTTCAGAATCACTTTGACGGTACACCGACTTGTGAGGGAGGGTGAATGGGGCCTCTTTCATACACACCACTGTTCTTGCTCTATGTAACTTGGGTACAATCTCCCCATCGACTGTCGGTCTTCAGCTAGCTACAGGAAGAAGCTAGCTTGGTATTCTCAGGTACAGACATTATGGCAGAGGTGACGAGATTGGCTCCTAGCATTTACATTTCAAATCACTGTCCAAGCCTTGATGTAACTAGCTTGAGAGAAGTTGCAGAGATAACAGAGGTGAATGGGTCATAGTAAGACAACATGTCCCTTGTATAGGCGGGAGGGAGGGGGCGGGGGCAATCTGGGTCTAATCTCTCTCTTCTCTTGACTGGGTTTGATTTGTCAGGTACAGCTGTGTCTGATAGAAAAAAATATTCATGCAGCAGCAGCAGTCATTACAAGGATGACAGCGCTAGCATGTTCAGCTTTATTGCTTGTCTGACTGGTGAAGCCAAGTTGGCCATCTTTGTCACACATTGCCAGCGCCAGTCTTTTGCTTGAATGACACATCAATTACATCAAGGCTTGTATTTGTCAAGAGACCGATGCACAGGCAGAAGGGACAGGCTGCGGCGGCGGCGGCGGCGCTGCACGTTCATGCAAGTTTCTAAATGAGATTCTCCAGTGGACACTGCAGCGGAGAGAAAAACTCTAGAAACTCCTCAGTGTGAGAGAGAAACTGTCACAGTCGTCATACTTTTACAATTTCTAATCCGAACTCTATAGGAAACAATAACTGATCTAATTATAGATCAATTTGCACAAACCCACGAAAAAATGCCCATCTCAATTACCCAGAGGCAAAAGCACTGTGTTCAGATTGTTTCAGTCAGTGCAAAGCCCCAAAATATTTAGTTTATAATCATAAAAACAAAGAAAAGTAACAAATCCTCATATTTAAGAAGCTAAAAACAGTAAATGATTGTTTTTCTTGTTTGAAAAGTGACACAAAGAAATTGTTACTGTTCTTGAACCTTTTTGAAATTACTGGTTCTGATAACAATAACAAACTGAAAGCTAGTTCGCACGTGGATGGACGACTGTTGTGTCTTTATAAGGAAAATTTGCACATGAACGTCTCTCTTAAAATACCGAAACAGTCGCTCCTGCCTAGCTTTTGCGAGGTCACGTGACCTTGACCTTTGACCAAGTTCAAATCAGTTAAACTTAAAAAAAAAAGGATCTTCAAGACCAGTATAAACAGGAGGGATGATTACAGCAACAAATGACTCTATTGATATTTATATCGGTACAGGACTATTGTTTTAAGACAGACTTGAAAAACTGTAATCGTATCCTTTGAGGTTGACGTCTCTAAAATCCTCCTCTCTCTCACATTTTAACTGAACAAACTAACAAACACTGTTTTCTTATTGCATCCTGTGTGAACTGACTTCAGGGCTCGAACAGCCCCGTCTGTATCCACGCTAAGAGCATAAAAGCCGACATCTACCTTCTCCTGAACCTCCTGCTTCTCCTTGAGGGCCTCCTCCAGCTGGGCTTGCAGGTCACTGATCTGGGCCAGGTTCTGGGCTGACTGAAGTCAACAAACACACAGGAGGAAAAAGCAAAGTCAGCGAGCAACATGACGCTGTATGTGCACATTAAACATGTATTTCCTTCTGTTCTATCTGATGGAGGAACGGCTGCAGACTGAAGCTGAAGCCCTAAAAACAAAATCAAAATCCATCAAATGTCAAACAATTAAAAAAAAACAAAAAGAAAACACAGAGTATATCCAGTAAAACGTGACGACATCACAGTGACATTACCAAGACAAATAAATCAGCTGGAGAGATGTTTTTAGTCTGGTGGAAGCGTATCAGTAAATCTCATTTTAATGTGACCTGTGTGGAATATTTGAGACGAATGCTTTTTTTTTCCACAGTAGATGAAGCACTCTGCTGCGGCGAGTCCCACCGGGAGTTCAGCCGCTTCAATTTACACAGAAAGGATGGATTCATTTGGAGCCAGTGGAGGCAGATCACTCAACATCACTCATCAGCCATCAGTGACGGAAAGGAGGCGCTTTTTACTCCACTTTCATTTCCACTCGCTGCTCATCTGCACATCCAGCCGCATTAATACAAATGTGGGGGGAGGGGGAGGAGGAGGAGGAGGAGGGGAGGGGGCGGCACAAGGAATTTGCCAAATATCAGCGCTTCTGAAAAAATGACTCAATTGGTGGGGATGGGTGGTGTTAAAACAATGAAATGTAAAGCTTGCTCCAGGGATTTTTACCTTTTTATAAATGAATTTTGGATTATTTTTTGACATGACACGCTGGTCGACGTGACGTGATGAGCAGAACATGCAGCAGGCTGCAGTGTGTGTGCCTGACACCAGTAAAAGTGGGCGATATAAACGAATATACTCGATGCTTCGCTGTTTGTTCCGCGTCGAGATGTAGTCAATCGGTTTTCAGGTTTGAATTATTCCTGTAATATAATCCAAATTTCATACATCACGGTGACGGAGAGGAGGAAACCAACCTGGGCCACAGCGGCCTTGTGCTTCTTCATCAGCTCGTTCAGGTCCTCCTGGTCCTCCTCCATCCTGGACTGCAGGTCGTTCTTCTCTCTCTGCAGACGACTCAGCTGCTCCTCCAGCTGAAGGGACGGAAAACAACAGAAGAGCGGTGAACACAGACGGATCAGATCCGGCTCTGTTGTCATTAAGTCACAAAAAATCACAGATTTCTCTGGTTTGAGAAACATTTGGGATATATAACGTAGGTCTAGATGTTTTGAGACATTTACATGTGGAGAAGTTACAGATTCTAACTGTTATTTGATACCAGTGGACAAGAACACACTTCTCTACACTGCAGTTTTCTTGCACCATCTCCATAAACTGTTGTAAAATGTGAAGAAGTCACAGTCACAGACGCTGGGCTTTGACTTTGTGGGTGTGCCACTCTGTGCACAGCAGAGCTTCCTCTCTGAGGAGAGCCCTTATTAGCTCTTACACAGCCCCCTGTGATCACAGGGCCCACCAGGGATTATTTCAGGTCCCCAGTCACAACCAAGACATCCAATTAGAGGCTAAAAGCTAACAGCGGCCGTCTCGCACCTTCAGCCGAGGGGAGGGGCTGCGCTGCAGTAATCCTATTTCTGTAATGACTGGGATAATATACAAAAGACAGAGAGGGGAGGTTGGTGGTGCAGGGCTGTGGATTAATAAATGGTGACTAATGTGAAAAGGCTAATGAATCAATTTGCACATAGCGACCAGATAAGAGGAGTCGGGGACAGGCAGAGCCGACACTGTGGCATCCGTCTTATTAAGAAACAGGATGTACGAACGAAGCCAAGTCACCGAATCAAAACACAGCTTTAAAATGAGGGTAAAATGCGGTTATTCTGTATTTTATTATTATTAACAGCAGCCACTGCTGAGACGTACCAAGGTTTACCTCAGCAACTAAAAATATCCACGGTGAATCTGGGGCAAATTCATTCACACAGCTCACTTTCCTTTTTTTTTTTAAAAATCTACCATTCGCCTGAATGAGGAGCTGATAAAAGCTGTGAGAGCAGCTGCAGCTCGGCATGATGGGGAAAATATTGTGATGGACACTTAGGGGGAAAAAATAAATAAAAAACGTGCCAGTCGGCAGCACCAAACTGTCATAGAACACGTTTAACAATAGGCTGTCAGTGCAATCGCAACCCAATTACGTGGGTTGGCCCTCAGTTTTTTTCCTCTGTGGAAAAATAAAGCTTTCTAAAAAATGCGACACCATTTCCTCAAAACACTGCAATTATGCCAGGAGAATGATGGGAAATGATGGACCATCTGAAAGAAATGTTATTTGCATGATTTTTATCTTTGTCCATGTGGCCAGTGATGCTTCAAAAAAAAAAAAAAAAAAAATCCTCAATTTCAGCAATAACCGTGTCTGTCATCAGTTCTCCAGCAGGCTGCATGAGAGCCGCAGAGGTCGTCCTCAAAGACATCGTTTCAAAACAAACAGCTGGTGACACATTCATCTTCTCTCGGCAAAATTCTCCTCTTTCACATCAAATTTAGCCGATCACACATTTTGTGGAAACAATTAAATTGCATTTGCTCTGTTTTTTTGTTTCTTTTTTTTCTCTCTCTCTCTCTCTCTGTCTCTGTGACAGAAAACAAAACGTCTCTAAAAACTAAATGATGACGGTTAAGATGAGGTCGTCCATGTGAAAGCGTACAGGGCCAGAAGCTGCCTGGCTCCACGAAGCAAGTAATGTGTGATAGCCACTTAAAGAAGTGTCGCGGTGGAACTGATAAACAGCGAGGCCTCTACTTCCAGTCGGCCGGTGGCGTGTGCTGGTAAATTACGACTAAAAAGACGGAGCTAATTAAAGCTGATGAGCTGTGTTGTCCCTCCACCAACCGTCTCGGCCATTAATATCATGAAGCTCGGCAGAGTTTAACTGAACCTTAATGAGCCTCTCAGACAAACTAATATTTACCTGCAGATGTTTTCATGAGTCTGAGCGGAGACACTCGCTCATGTCACCACGCACCTGTCAGAGTAACATCTCGACAGTAAGAGCAACAGCTGTACGATCTCTCGTGATGTCATTTACAAAGAATGACGCGCCGAAGTGAGTTCGCGCGTTCACACGTTTTTGTTGCTTTGAGCGCCACATGGTGTAAAGGTAGATCTCTTCTGATTGGCTCACCTGTTGTTCCTAGAGCTCCAGAGAGAAGCCCGAGAGAGGAGATGACAGGCAGACACAAAAGTCAAATGTAATCAACAGAATTAAAGTTGCTACTACTTTTTAAAATTCAATTATTTCTTCATTATTGAAAAAGAAAAAGTAGATAAGTAGATAAAAAAACTTGCCTGGTAAATGTAATAATCTTAATTATTTTTTCTTTCAGATTTTAATTATTTGTAATTGATACATTTGCAGTTGTTTATTGAAATGTGTTAATTGAATTGTAATTGAACACAACAAAAAAAAAGTCAATTATTATAATTGTGTTGGCAAAGCTCAGAACGAGAAACTCCATCCATCCATCGCTTCATCCATCCATCCATCCATCCATCCATCCATCACTTCATCCATCCATCTCCTCCTTGTACGTGCTCCTGACCTGCAGCTGTGTCAACTCACTTATCTCTTCCCGTCACTTCACTGTGGACATTTCTAAAACACGCACTCAAACTTACTCAAATTAGCTTCGGCGCCACCGTTAGCACCGGTTCATACAGCCGGTCATTTCTCTTTAAATGGCAGGAGAGAGAGAGAGAGAGAGAGAGAGAGAGAGAGAGAGAGAGACAGAGAGAGAGAGAGAGACAGAGAGACAGAGAGAGAGAGACAGAGAGAGAGACAGAGAGAGAGAGAGAGAGAGACAGAGAGAGAGAGAGACAGAGAGAGAGAGAGAGAGAGAGAGAGAGAGAGAGAGAGAGAGAGAGAGAGAGAGAGAGAGAGAGAGAGACAGAGAGAGAGAGAGACAGAGAGAGAGAGCACGAGGAGATTAAACCTCACTGATACACAGAGTAAGATTCACCGTAAATGAGTAGCAGGAAAAACGTGGGAGTGAAGAAGTGAAAAAAATAAATAAATAAAAAAAATAAATAAAAAAGGCAGTTTGACCGACACATGGAACCAGATCGCCATGGGAACAAGGCAGGAAGTGAGAGAAGTCATGCCAAAAGGACAGAAAAACATAAAGGTCAAAATAGATGAGGAGAGGCTGAGATGGGAAGGAAAGAAAAAGGAAGTGAAAACTAAAGTTGTGAAGAAAGAGACAGAATAAAAATGTGGATTTTTACAGGGAAATAAGAAAAATCCCCCCGTTCCCCAAGAAAATAAGAACGGTGGGAGTGAGAGGACGAGCTCTGAGGGAACAGCTGTGTCCTCTAACCCCTCATCTCTGGCTAAAGGCAGTGAGCTGACATGTCTGCTGCAGCTTCCTACCACCACAGATGGTGCAGCCTCATAAAAGCCTCAAAAACACAACCTACGCCATCACCACTGACGACCGTTTCCACAGGCTGTGACAGCTTCAGCTTTTCCCTTCCTCTTTAACAACGACACGCAGTAAAAACTTCATCGTTAAACTGGGTCATGGAGGAGGAATGAGGAGAGCCGTACTGACCCCCTGCTTCGTTTTGGAGATGTCCTCCATCTGCACGTGCAGGTCTTCGATCTCCACCTCCATGGACTTACGAGCTTTAACTGCAGCCGCACAGGTGAACTCGGACTCCTCCAGCTGGGACGGACACAGAAATGGAGGGAAATGCATCAGTTCAGAGTAACTCAACACCAACATGTGTTAAATCATGAGCACAGTCACATTCTGTAACACGGTCGATCGATTCTGGTCCACTTCCTTATTCTAGACAACACATACACATATTTTTGAGAACCCCATAAAGAGCGGTGGTTTCCAGCCTGAGGGTCAGAGCCGACCAATCACAACATAAATCCGAGGATTGGAAAGTAGAAGCAGAAACATTGGCTGCTGCTTTTTTCTCAAATTTTGGGACCGAAACTTTTCAAATGAACCAGTCTGAGAAGGAAATATCACCCTGTGGTTGAAGAGGCACCTGGGCTGGGAACCAGTGATCTAGAATGGTTTGCATCATGTGCAGTTACAGTTTTTTATTTTAAATGATTGTCACATCCGACTCAGAGATCTATAAATACACATGACGCTCGCGTTTGGAGTTTTAATTTGAAAGGAGATCTCGAGCATGTGACCGACAGTCGTCAGGACGTAGTTACATCCATGAACGTGTGCTGTCACGCACCTGATTCTTGAGCTGGGCGATCTCTCTCTTGCTCGGTGCGTTGTTCTTGATGTGGTCCAACATGATCTGGGCGTCGGCCAGCAGAGCTTTGGTTCTCTTCAGGTCCTTCCTCAAGCGCTTCTCGGTCTCTATGTCGCCACTTCTCACCTGGAAAACAGGCACAGGTGAAAACAGGCACAGGTGAGGTGTGATCAGAGATCGGCCAAAGACTCGATTCATTTTCCCAGTTGAATTTAGTGCGACCACATTTCAGTTCAATTTTACAAATTAAATTTACATGTGGAAGAGCAGTAGAGCTGGAAAATCAGATCAACCAATCCTTATTTTTATTATTGCGTTCATATTACTCATCAAAAAAGTTGCTGAGTCAATTTCTGTCGATCAACTAATTGATCAATTGTTTCAGCTCTAGAAAAGTGTAAGTCTTGAACCTTTTCTGATCAAAAACGAAACTTTGTTGATGAAGTTTTGAGAATTGGGAAAGAAAAAGCTCAAAGTGACATGATCAACATGTCAATAATCAATAATATCAACAATAATGGACTGGTTTGGCTGCAGAGGCCACCGTCCTCTCTGTTCCCTGGATGTCTCAGTTGGACATCAGCCTGACCTTCATCAGTGTCTCTGTGTGTCTCTAACTGCAGTCGGCAGAGACAGATAAATATTTTAACGAGCCAGTAATAATGACTCCAATTATATAAACCCCCCTACATCTCCGCCCACACACCTCAGGAGTAGAAGTGCAAATAAAATCAATGCCGATCTGTTACCATCCAACTCTGCATGAGCCAGACGGTGTCGTGATTCACACCGGTGATCCGGATCCAGGTCCAACAGGACTGGGATCCATCAGACTGTGGTCGCCGAGCGGTTACCTTGTCCTGAGCTGACAGAAGCTTCGACTCCAGCTCCCTCTTCTCCTTCAGCACCTTCTGCTTCTCATCGTACTCTTCCTCAAGCTGGACTTCCATTTGCTTCAGCTAAACACACACACACACACACACACACACACACACACACACACACACACACACAGAGAAATTAGTAAATCCAAAGTTCTATCTGATCACAAAAACTGCTGAACTATGACAATAATCAATTATTGTGATTATCGTCATGGATTGTAATAGTATCTGCACTACATTTTGTGCCAATTCATCTATTAGATGTGGAGATATTCAAAACCAATAACTCATTATCACATTGGCTGTAAAAATAGATGAATTCTAACACTCTCCAAAAAATCTCCCATCATTTATTTATTCAGCTCAATCCTTCATTAAATAATACATCAGTGTGTAAATGTCACTGTGGAGTATTCCCAGCTCGTGTAAGTGTAGAAAAACCTAATTATGTGATGGTGTGTGGGCTAATGAGGCCTCCATCAGCGGAGGGCAGCGATGGGGTGTCGGCACTGACAAAGCAAAACAAACACAAAACAGCATTAATAACAGCGACGGTAACAGAGCTGAAAAAAGATGAAGCCAGATTCCAACAAGCAAAGTGGCGGCACACGGTGACGGAGAGAGAGAGAGAGAGAGAGAGAGAGAGCGAGCAGCAGGTAAAACACGGAGAACGTGTTAACAGCAAACGGCATCAGCAACAACATTAAAGCAGGGACGGATCAGGAAACAGAAGTGTCTCGGTGACATGTGATCACCTCGAAAAGAGGGTGTGATTACAGATAACGATCTGTCTCTGATGTGCTACTGAACAGCTAGCTAAGATGCTAAACATGCTAAGGGCTCCTGTTGCTCATATCTGAAAAGCAATGAAACTAAATAATAATAATAATGTTTATTTATAGAGCACTTATCAAAATCAGAGATCACAAGGATAGAATAACAAAACAAACAACAAACACATGAAAACAAATTACTCAAGATAAAAATAAAACCATAAAAACACAATAAAAATAGAAACACAAGCAAACAATGTAAAACTATGTGAAATATTTAAAATAAATGATTTAAAAGCTTTGTGACAGAAATGTGTTTTTAGAAGCGATTTAAAAGATGATACTGATTTTGTGAGTTTTGTTCCAGAGGCGTGGTGCCCTGACAGCAAAAGCTCCGCCCCCTTTAGTCTCACATCTTGATACAGGATTATTTTGTAATCCATTAGATGGCGTCCAGAACACAATCAAAGACTTATTTTTAGAAATTGATTGACATAAATGCAGCTTGAATTTACTTCATCACTGTTCACATGTGGAGCCGTGGCCCACAGTCAGTTTTTTTTTTGTTTTTCATATCACACATCGTAGGTCGGCTATTTCAGACAGAACCTTTAGAACTTCCTGTCAGAATAAAAGCTCACAGTGGCTTAAAATAAAGCATTGCTGCAACGCTTTTATTTAGTGGACAACATCGCTAAAGAGGAAGTGACTGATGTGTGACTGTTTGTGTCTCTCAACAGGAGAAAAGTATAATAATCATCTTCAGGTGAGGTGGGGGAAGATTCTCAATTCAGACATTATAGATAAATCAATATAGAATATTATTGCAGGAACTAAACGTCAGGAAATCTCGTGTCAGCGGCTTCAGTTCAGTTTTGACCGTATTTGATTGGTTCCTTTCTGATCTGGACTGCCTTCAGGAGTGAAGAAGCAGCAAAGTATAAATGGTTTTCCACATTTTTACACCTGCTTCCCCTCAGACTTTAAATCACAGCGAACTGAAACAACAGTGTGCAGTGAAACGTGAGCATGTGAGTGTAATGAACTTCACCTTCTTGCTGCACGACTGTCTGATCTCTTCCACCTCGTCGTCTTTGCTCTCAATCTCCTTGGAATGGGTTTGACGTAAACGCTCCATCTCCATCTCCAGACGCAGCTTGGCCTGGAAGAAAAACAGACACTTTACGCTCCGCAATCACCTGTGGCTTAAAAGAACACTTTGCTGATCATGTACAAGGGACCTGACACGCTGCCGGTAAATGTTAAGGTGCTGGAAAAGCAGTTTGGTAAATCCCTGCTCTATTCTGTCTTTAAGCCGACAAAGCAATGACTTAAGGCGCCGGTACACTCCATCAGAAGTGCCTGACCAGCTCCACAGTTCCTCTCAGTTCTATGGAGTCACTTAGCTTCTTTTTCTTTTTAGCTTCTTTAAGCTCATTGTTTTGATTTGCTTTTAGCAGCTGAAGAGCCGGATATTTTTCTCAGGAGCTCATGAAAACAAAAGCTACAGGAGACTGAATTTTGAACTTGCATCTATCTCAACTCACTCCAAACTAATGCTAATGTTTTCTGCTGTGTGTGTGTGTGTGTGTGTGAGTCTGTACCTGTTCTAACATCTGGATGGTGCCGGCCTGCTCATCCAGCTCCTCCTCCTGGTCCTTCACCTTGGCCTCCAGGTCGCGAAGCTGCTTCTTCACCTGAACAATAAATCAAACATTATACATCATACATATATATTCATGCAGTACATAGTTTCAAGTTTCAGTACAGCAATAAACACAACACAAGCAGGAACCTTGGCCAGCGATGCCTCATCTTTGGATTCCTGGGAGTTGAGGTCCTGCAGCTCAGCCTCCAGCTGGTCCAGCTTCAGGTTGACTGCACACACCTCCAGGTCCTTGTCCTGCAGGACAGATGGTTTCAGTCAGAACAGAAGGGAGGGAGCCGTCAGGGGATTACAGTTTGAACACGGCACAGGGACAGAGAGATGGCTGAGCAGTTATTTACTCAGCTCAGCAGGTCGGTATGAGACACGCACGCACGCACGCACACGCGCACACACACACACACACACAACCTGGGTTTATGATTTCAAACACATTCTGTGTAGACATGCATGCTGCAAACCTGCAGAGCTTTAACAGACATGAAGAAAGATCCACAAGTTTCCACAGACTAAATAAAATATGTTAAACTATAAGTTTTTAAAACTGATGCATGACACATTTACTACACTTACTGCCCAATGCAACAAAAGAAACAATCCCAGCATGCACTGCATTTTACGGTTGTGAGAATTGTCACTAACTGGTTCTGGTTCTTATTACATGATGAGAACCAAAAAACTGGACTGAACAGAGACGAACCTCGAGCTGCTGCCGGAGGCTGAAGGCCTCTCCGGTCAGCATGTCCTTCTCTCGGGCGAGTTTCTCCCTCAGGCTCTTCTCCCTCTGCACCTCCTCCTGGGCTGCACTCAGCTCACCGTCAAACCTGCAGGCAAACACACACACACACACACACACACACACACACACACACACACACACACACACACACACACACAAGGATGTTCACACTCTCTGCACAGCACGAAGCTACAAACAATCTGGAACACAACAGTTTTCTCTTTACTATTACTGATACTACAGGAAAACCACTGGACCCTCCTCAGTGTGTGTGAAGTCAGGTGTGTCTACAGACACCTGCTCAGACATGTGTATGTGTGTGTGTATGCGTGTGTGTGTGTGTGTGTGTGTACTGACTTCCTCTGCTTCTTCTCCAGTGCGTGGTTGCGGCTCTGCTGTCCCTCCAGGTGAAGTTTGGTGTCCTGCAGTTCGGCCGTCAGTCGTTGAGTTTTCTTCTTCAGCTGCTGGATGTTTCTCTGGGACTCCTCGTTATCGGCCTGCAGGTCGCTGATCTGCACAATCACACATACACACACACACAAAAATCTGAACTGGGGCCGTATCACAGAAACTTCCTAACTTGCAGAGCCTATCTTTTTTTTTTGCCGAGAGAGATTTTCAGAGTGAAGCGGCCATTTTTTTGTTTGTTTCAGTGAGAAATCTGATGTGTTACCAAAACACCTCAGTGGGATGAAATGAGAAAAAGTAGCACTGGTTGCTAGGTAACAGACATAAAAGTTGATAAACGATGTTGGAATGAGTATTTAGGATTTCCTCTCCTGAGGTAAGACAGGCTTCTTAAAGTGAGATAAGAAATTCTTCTGTATTAACAAATTACAACAAATCCTGTCTTATACGCTTCCCGTCTTAACTTAAGACTGAAGACAGGAAGTTCCTGTAATAAGTCCGCTGGGAAAGAAATATTAAGATACACCTAATGACCCGGGAGCCATGGAAGTGTTTAATAATGAAATTTCGAGCCAATCGATTTAATAGACGTTGAAAAAGTGAAAAATTTGAGTTGCTGGAGGCACAAGAGGAAAAGTCAAGAGGCCTACGCGTCGACTAGGTGAATGATATCAACAAAATTCAATGGTAATTTCATGGCAAAGACTGAGTGTTGATGATTTGGGAAGAGTCTTATCTCGCACCACGGATGATAAATGTATTGAAATTGATTTAATTCAATTCTGCTTGAAAACTTAAAATTAAAATCAATGAATTCCACAACACACAGAGAGAGTGACGCTGCATGGTGGTCGTTACTGTGTGTGTGTGTGTGTGTGTGTGTGTGTCCGCTCACCCTCCTCTCCAGCTGCCGTTTGTTCTGCTGCTCCACCTCCAGCTTGTCGTCAAACTCCTGCTGCAGTCTCTTCTTGGTGAACTCGATCTCCCTGATGGCTCGCTCGTACTTCAGCCTCCACTCCCCTCCTGTCACATCAGCACGTTCACAGTCAGCCGCTTATTTCTCCTCGGCTGCGTTTTTATAAGACTAAAAAATACCGTTATGACTCAACTTACACATAACTAAATGTGCTTCGAGTGACATGAGGAAGACCTTCATGATAGAGTCGCTGAGTGAAAGCAGCGCTCGGGTACAAACAAGCAAAGCTGTTCAAACCTACGCAACAAAAAGCCACTTTTCAACATTCAATTTTCAATCCATCACAAAGGCAGCCGGTGGCCTGACCGCAGGGGGCGGGGGGGCAGGGGGCCCGGGGCTGAATATCCTCGCTTCGTTTTTCACTTTTAACTGATCCATTTCTAAAGTACTCCTTCAGACTGGATTTTTCTTGGCTTTTGTCAGAGCACCAGGCGGACACACCACCCCTGCAGCTCCCACACCTCCACTGAAGAACACACGCTGGCCTTTTCTCTCAGAGTGAATTACCACTATTAGAACGTCTGTGTGGGAGTGTGTGTCCGTATAGTTCACACACACACACACATATACACACACACACACACACAACAACACAAGTTTGATGATACAAGCTTGTCAGGTGGTGTTCATCCAACCAGATGTTTGTTATTGTGACCAAATGAAGTTATTATTGTTGAAAGACTTATTGTGATCACCTTTCCTTTTTCGTCAATACAGTTGCTCTGTGTTTGGAAAACACTCACGGTGCAAAGGAAAAAACAGAAACTCTATTTTCTGTTAAAGTAACTCAATGCAACTGGTTTTTAACCTTCTGTGAAATTTTGTCAGACAGATGTTGATTCAATTTTGTTGTGACTTTTTGATTCTGTGATGAAAATGATCAATTAAGCCTAAAATGTTCCAGAGTTTCAACATAGACATAAACTTGAAGCTTCAACCACAAAACAAATATTTCAACTTATTTGAAATCTACAGAAGCCCAGAGAGGCAAGGGGACATTTCTGTTGCCAGGATCATTTTTTATCTCTTCATGTGTGAAAATAAGTTGGAAATTTTATCTCCATGACAACTGAGCAACTGTGCTGGAGTGTTTCTGTTATTTTGTCCACGGTGTCTATGTGTTGGAGGAGTGTGTCTGACCTGTGTCGTCATCATCCATCTCTCCATTGAGCTCCGAGGCCCTGATGAGTCGAGCCTCCATCACCTCCATCTCCATGGACTCCATCTGCTTCTTCATGCTGTCGAACTTGGCCTGGAGGGAGAGACAGGAAGAAGCTGTGAACACATCTGTCTCCGGAGGTGAACCCCGGACTCATCGTGAAGTGATAACAGGTGGTTTTTAATGATGCTGTTTGTAAGAGCTGCTGGGGTTTCGAGTTGAGACGTCACTCACGAGGGTCAGAGCCAGTTACTGACCACACACCGGTCCTGGAGTCGGACTCCTGTCATTTGAAGCTGTAACCGTGGGTTGAACCTCTCCTAGTGTCAGCTGAACCCAGCCAGTGGAGTAAGAGGCCTGACTCAGTGAGCCGGTCAGAACTGAAAGAGTCATCCTCTGCTGCCAGAGAAGTAACTGTCCACCGGTCAACGGGATGCAAAGGCCATGTTGCTAAGCGACTGAAAGGGCGAGAGCTTCACTGACGAAGTTGCTGCCCTATCAGAGCTGTAACATGTGGAGTTAATGAGGGCTGCGTGACTGAAACTCAAAGCTGTGCTGCAGCTCAGGGGCCGCTTCCTTCGGAGGCTGCATTCGAGGAGCGACTGCGTCACAGCGGCGTGACCAGGCCGTCCTACTTTTCCTGGACAATGGAGGATCCAACGGGCGGATCCGTCACGGCCCGGCCTATCCCAGGATTCATTGCACTCCGGTAGTGAAAATAATGTGGCAGCGAACAACACCGACACACAGCCTGAGGATTAGACTTTTAAATGTAAGTATTTGGTTTCAGCTCTAGTTCAACAGGTAACGGTACAAAAACCAACCGTCTCATTTCAGTTTGGTCAACGATGGTCCACACCTTCGTGACTTTCCCTCTGTGTGAATACCCAGAATGCTCCATTGTGCCGCTCCCTCCATCACAAACACAACAAGACAAGAAAAATCCATCCCACATTTCTAGCAGCCAGGCCATTTGTAGGCAGCCCCTCTCCACGGCCATCCGAGCAGTCACTGGATGAATCTATCTGAACGCCCCCCCCACCCACCCCCCCAACCTCCCACTTCTCCCCCCTCCACATAAAAATTGAGAAACAACTCATGTCAAAAATGTCAAATCGTGAACTAAATGGATCGAGGGAGCAGCGGTGGAGAAATGGCCTGACAATGTGATTTCAAAATTACAGCCATCACTGTGTCTGTGTGTGTTTGTGTGTGTGTGTGTGTGTGCGCGCGTGTGTGTGTTTGTGTGTGTGTGTGTGCGCGTGTGTGTGTGTGTGGCTGTGAGACACACACACAGGGGAAGCAGGAGAAGAGGCTGCTGGTAGATGACAGAGAACCAGAGTGAAGCTTGGAGACAGACTGCGTCCGCGGATGAATGACAGGATGGTGTCACTGGTGCAGGTGTCGGTGCAGTGGTGGCTGATGGGAGATTAAACACTGAGTGGATATAGGGACAGGCTCAGGTTCAATACTGCACTTAAATGCCATGTATACAGTCCAGTGAGAGAGTTTACGGCTGTGAAGTGATCCCTTCAGTCAGAGCTGCACTCAGCTCACACCCGGCTCCTGCAGTCTGACTTAGACAAATCGCAGTTGCATGTAATTTCATTGCAGGTGTTTTGTTCGAGACTTGCTACAACCCCCCCATCTAGCAACCACTGCCCCGGGGGGGGTAGTAAAAAGAAAGGAAAATTATACATAAAAAAAGACTTGTTTTCAGGGCAGTGCTCACATGTTCACTGCTGTTTTTAGGTCAAGACTTAAGGAGCCACAAGTTTAATTTCAGCTCCTTCTGATGTGTGTTTAGGGTCAGTGTGACATTAACTACTATCGGCTTTAATGTTTCCGTCATCTTATATCGCCATGACGATCACCTCCCCCTTCACTTCCCCGCTTTGATTTAGAAATAAGTTTTCTAGTATCTGACTTCCTGCTGTGGTGACAGCTGGATACTTTCTAATTGTCTCCTCTTCCACCGCTGACACGGCTGAAGCTGTCATGTCTGTGTGTGCAGCTGCTCGTGGCCGGGCGGCGTTCATCAGACTGAAACCAGCCAAGAGACTTTTTTATTAAGAGACCTTTTAGAGCTAAAATCTATGGGCTCTCTTGACCTTTGTAAAACTTCACTTAATTTGTCATCTCACTTATTGAGCGTGAGCTGAAAGTAGGATTTGAACCCTGATATTCATTAGATTTTAACCACTATTCTAAATGAATTAGACTTCCAAAAGGGGTGGAGCCTGCTGCAGTCAGAGGGGCGTGGTTGGAAATATTATTAGCAGCGTAGTAGAGTATTGTAGAGATTTAAATCAGTATTAGAAACATTTCTGCAGCGTATACAAGTCAAGTGATCTGCTATGTTGTAACTCTCTCATCTATGAGGCTCTGGGTGGGACCTGGGTATGATGTCACGAGGGGTGTGGCCTATTGCTGTTTCTGTCCCACATGTGCATTAATCAGACACACTACTCGTCAAACCCGTGTTTTTAGAGTGTAAAAGAAAAACAACAGTGAAAGTCGGCCACGCCCCCTCCGGTCTCTACCTGCAGCTCCTTCATGTCTCTCTCCAGACGGAGTCTCTCAGAAGTTTCGGTCTCCAGCAGCTGGGAGGCCGACTCCCCGGTGTTCCGCTCATCAGCCAGCTCTGATGACAGCTCTGTGATCTGCAACACACACACACACACACACACACACACACACACACACACACACACACACACACACACATTAATATATACCTTATAAGAGTTACTCTGTCAAGAAAAGAAGAATAGTCTCAGACAAGATCCAAATCCTCTTCTGTACACGTCTGTGTTCATGTGTGTGTGTATGTATGTGTGTGTGTGTGTGTGTGTGTGTGTGTGTGTTCGTACCCGACTCTCCAGACGGTCACTGTTGAGTCTCAGCTCGTTCCTCTCTTTCTCCACCTTCTCCAGCTTCTGCTTCAGCTGCTGAATCTCTTCCTGAGAGAGAAACGACAGAAGATGTTGATGCTTGTGACGACGCAGCAGATGAAGTGAATTAATCAGCATATAAAGTGATATTTGATAAATTGTAAGGGTGTGACTTGTGGGTGTTACCTACGTTCCTGCTGACAGAGATGATGCAGTCTGATTGATTAAATATTTAAACATCCTTGTTAAATCTTTAACACAAATCCGAGTTTTAGACTCAGACTGGTTAAAATTCCAGGTATTTCAATGATAAAGAAAGGAAATGAAATCCTGGAAATACTTTCAAGGATATTTTGATGCGGATATGTTAAATTTACAGCAAACTGCCGCAGACATAAAACTCAATGATGTCTACTTCTATTTAAAGTCTACATCAGCCTTCAAAAATCCATCAGTCTGACATTCCACCGGAAAGATGTTTGCTATTCCTGTTCACTAGCTGTGACTCTAGAGAAACAACTCAAAAGAGTGTGAGTGTGTGTGTGTGCGTGTGTGTGTGTTTGTACGCACGTCCTTCCCGCGGATCTGTTCCTCAGTGAGCTGCACCTCGATCAGAGGTCTGACGGTGGTGAACAGCTTCCACCACGGCCAGCCTTTGACGCCACGATTCTTCTTTATGTTCTTCTGGATGCAGCGGATGGCCAAGTCCTGGATCTGTCTCACACACACACACACACACACACACACACACACACACACACACACACACACAACTATATTAGACAGAAGAAAAACACAAGTCTGAATACAGTGTGGTGCAATAACACACACACACACACACACACTGCATTTGTACTGTAACCAAAGGGCACCGAGTGTTTTCCCATGTGGTGAAGTGTCTATAGAAGAAATATGGACGCAGTGTCTGTGATGTCACACGAGCCACAACTGAGAGAGCCAATGAGAGACATACAGTCATATTGAAGAGGGGACAGTGTCCAGCACTTTGCTGCCGTATTGTGACAAAGCGTTTTTTTAATGAGCCCCTGGTAGAGTTTGATTTTCTTAAACCTTGATTCAAGCGCCCCTCGTCACCATGACAGCGTGTTGCCATGCCCACAGTGCACGGAAGACAATAAGACCCAGAGACGGTAAAGTAGTGAAAGCTGCAGCTGTTTGCAGTGCAACAGGAAAATGTTCATCATCCCACAGGATGTTAAAGTCACTGTAAAGCTGCTCGGACACGAAGGAGAGTGTTGTTCAGCGTTTTCAATATTTTCCACGGACATGGATGAAGAATAAAGTTCAATTTTAACATTTTTTACTGTTCCAGTCCATGACACAAGAGCTTCACAGAGGCTTTGTCTTTCTAGTGACGTACTTCCTTTAACACAGAGAGTTGAGGCGGGACATCGATATTGTGGAGGATTGATCTTGAGTGTGAATCTGTTATGATGATTTTACATCCAGCATGAGGTCACCGCTGATGACGCACTGCTGTCCGGGACAGTGTCGACTCATCGGTATCTCTCCATCGCCGCCGGGGAGAGACTGTGGGACGGGAAGAACCAGCTTCTACTGAATGTTCCTCCCTGAGTGGATTTATTGGACACCAGATGTTTGCATTTGCATTGTGAATATTGTTTGAGAATGAAATAAAAAAAAATCTTTTCATGCGGCTTCTCGCAAATAAGACATGTTGTGCAAATCTTAAACTGAAAACCCTGACTGTTCTTTGATGAAGATTAATTTCCAACTCTGTTGCCATTTGTTGAAGCAAATCACGACAAGACAGTCTTTCCTCAGCCATTTTCTCCATGACAGGAGAAACCTAATCAAAGAGAGGACTCGTCAGCACTCACCCACCCTCTATAATCACGCGTGCACTAAAATCTGTCAGTTCTTTCCTTCACCTTCACATCCAAGTGCTGGTTGATTGAATGATGGCTGCACAAATTAAAGTGTCAGTGTTGCTCTGGCAGCTTGTTGAAGAGGCGTTCAGAGAAATCTTCCCTAACTGCAGGTAATCTGGAGAGCCATTCATAACACACAACCGGGACAGATTGCTCTCCGCAGTGAAGACCGGCGATGGAAATATTGCTCATCAGAGACACTTTCACTTAGTTACAGCAGATTCATAAACTTGTTTAAAGATGTGATATTCAACAACGTCTCAGCTTGATCTAAGTAGAAAAGAAGTCTTAGAAACATGAAGGCTTGTCATACGGCTTTAAAACGAGGAAGGATGGAAACAGCACTGCAAACATTTATCTTTTTCCTGTTTGTTTTTGAGACCAACATGTTCACAGCAGGACAGATACGTTTAGAGCAGTGGTCCCCAACCTGTGGGCCACTAAAGGTATAACAAGTGGACCAACAATTATATAAAAATATATATATAACTACCTTTTTAAATGTTTGAAAAAGAAATTATCTTTAAAAACATTAAAAATGTTAGAAAACGTCATCAAACAAAAAGGAAAAGCTGAGCGTGCTACACGTTTCCCCTGGTTTCAGTTCCATCCTGAATGTCTGATTGGAATTCTAGAAAAATTCGTTTTCTTACACTTTGCCTGAAACTACACGGAGCTAATATATTTTTACTTTAGTGAGTCTTCTGCTGTGGCTTGTGTCTGCTCTCTACTTCCTGTAGCTGCGCCTGAAAGAGAGTCTGATCCTCCGTCATTCAGTCTGTTTACATGAACACAAGTATCCAGGTTACTCAGGTAAGCGGAGGAGGTGTTTACTTGCACTGTAGTAACCTGGTTACTGCGTTCTGTCTTCAGGGAACTATTTAATGAGACTCAGTGCTGGTGTCAGGCGGAGGGATCCCCCCCCCCACCCCATGTTCCTCCACTCTGAACTGTTCCCCATGAGAACCAGGAGAGGGAGAGACTGCAGGGCCTCCAAGCAGCCGAGCATCTCCTCTGTTCCTCTACTCTTTCTCCAGCTTTCCTCCCTTTTCTCATTCTCCTTCTTCTCCTTCTCATTTATTTTCAGTGCTGTGAACGCCGCTCCTCCAGGCGAGGGGGGGGAGGGGGGAGGACATGGAAGGAAACGGGGGAGGTTCCCCAGAGCAGGCAGAGAGACTCGATGGAGGAACAAACTAATTGACTGCGTGTTGTGGCAATAGAAAGTGGGCCTAAGCAAATTTAAATCTACCTTTCTGAGTATATATGGGCGTTTTTATCAACCAGGAAACAATGAGTCAGCACAAAACAAATTAAAGTTTTGATTCGATTTCTCCTGCCGCTCCTTTGCCCCTCCACTGCCCCGTAGTTTTGCATATATACTCTGTTCGAAACCCATTATTGCACTTCCTACTTTCTTGTCAAGATTAAATGTCGTTGAACCCGTTTTGCAGAGTTTCTCTGTGTTCAGCTTTCATTTAAAAACACATTGTATTGCAAGAAAACATAATGATATGATGACAACGCTGCCAGGGTGTGTGCGTAGTATTTGTGTGCTGTATGTGTTGGGATGCTGTTGCGCCCCGAGCTCGAGTCTCAGGACACCAGGGAAGAGACTAAACAAAGACAAGACTGAGATGGTTCCATCTGGGAACAAAGGAGTGCAGTGCAGACGTGGATACAAAAGCTCCTTGGGTATTACATACGACATACTGCAGACTGCAGGAGCTGGTCAGTTAAAGAGAGAGTTCAAACTGAACAGGGGGAACTGGAACTAGCTTTCAGCCGCTGTGTTCCCCCGACCATCAGATCTGCACGAGCCGTGACTGGCTTCAAAAAGAAGCTAAAAACTGCTAAAAGCAATCAGGTAATTAAAAGAAGTATCTGACAGATTAAACTTTCTGTTCAACCAACATTAGCAACTAGTGGCTTTCAGTGGTCACGAAGACATGAACCTAGTCCCAAATGACATCAATTACAGGAGATGACAATTTACCCCGAGAGCTGAGGCTCAAACTGAGTCGTTCAGGGGCGACAGAGTAGTGAAGTGAAACCCAAATGCCCTTGAAAAGTAATTTCAGTTGGCAGGCCTGAGCCCAGCGCGGCAAGAAAGAATAAACCAAAATGGTAATGAGAGGAGGACAGGGACCCAAAGCGCACACACACACACACACACATTTACAAGATATACAAAAACTGTGTACCAACTGAACTGTGTGTTCACACGCGAAAAACTTCCACAAGCAACTTCAAAACTTCTGTGAAGTAATACACACACACACACACACACACACCCACACACACACACACACACACACCCACACACACACACACACACACACACACAAAGTCAACAGATCCCCACTGGCATCTTTAAGAGGCAGTCAATGCACGGCAGCAATGTTTCCACTTGTCAGGCTCACTCTGGTGGAACAACACACTCTCTCTCTCTCACACACACACACACACACACACACACACCAGACCAACAGAGTGCAGAGAGAAGAAAATTGCGAAGACAAAGTCCTCTACAAGGGTAACTTGTAAAGCATCCAAAAAGCTCATTTGGCTACACTGTAAAAGCTTCTCCTTGGGTTTGAAGTCCTTTTCATTTCACTGTGAAGCGTCTAATAAATCTGAAATGTCATGATGTGCCTTTAAAATAACCACAGTGACAACAACATGAAGCTCCCGTCTGAACGAGGAAGCAGGATTTGGGGTTTTCGTGAAGTTCAAACCCCCGGGTTTAACAGGTTTACCTCTTACATCGCCATGGTAACTCATGCCCCCTCCCCCCAGTCTCCACCTTTGGGAACTGAGGCTGTTCTAGAGCAAAAGGAGGAACGACCCAGTTTTAGTGTGGTGTTCCTAATAAAGTGCTCAGTGAGCGTACATCTAGATATACACTCCCCCCCATCGCCAATGTTTGATGTGAACATGAACTGAAGCTCCAGGCCCGTATCCGCAGGATTTTATGCCGTGCACGTGCACGTGCACGTGATCACTTGATTGGATAAATGCATGAGTGAGTAGGTGAACAGGTGTTTGGGCAAATTACATATTTTTGTTGATTATTGGAGTGAAAATGATGATGTAAATACAGCCACTGCAGAAAACACACATTAAAACATTAAGCTTTTCTTCAGATGTTAATGAAATGTCACGTTTTATTTCAGTAAATTAAGAAAGTGACAAGAGCAGTGTAATTACAGTAATTGTATATGCGCCTTAAAACGTCATTATTTTTTGGCTGACGGTTTTAAATCCCCGAGAGTCTTTCTAGTCTCTTCCTGCAGATCACGTGAACTCTGAATTATTTTATATTGTTTAAAATCTACCTGCAGATTCTCAGTGCTCACTGTGTCCTGCTGTAGGACCAAGCCGCTTTTCACCTTCCCTTTCATTCAGTCATCGGCATCCAGAATGTGCCGATATTTAGCGGACACTGACTTTTATGATGAGGTCAAAGGTAAGGTTTCCTCTCGTGTCAGACGGACCTTCCTCCAGGTTCTTTGCAGTCATGTGATGTTCTGACTTCCTTTCTGTCCGGCAGACAAACAGTTTTATCTCGAGGTTTTCTTGGTCATCCAGATTTCGTCTCGACTTCCACACTTCCCATAACTGTCATTTCTTAATGACATTGCAGATTTCAAGCCGGAAGAGCTTTGATGTCTTTTTAAAGCTTCTCTGCTTTATAGGCATCAATTAGCTTCTTGTTCAGACCCTCAGTGAGTTGCCTGAAGAAGAGCCTGTGTCACGGTTTGAAGAGTCAAGAGTAATTATCAGATCTGAAACTGTCATCGGGAATTGTCAGCTGATGACAGTTCTTGACCCGCCCTTCAAGTCCTAACGAGTCACTTAAGGCCCAGTGAGATCTTGACGTCCTGAGTGAGCAGAAAGGTGCCCGAACTTTCATTTTTCCGTATTTTATAAAAAGGAACAGTGCAACTTTCAGGCCTGTTTGGCTTTGGCAGACTGACAGTTGATCACCGGGGAATCCCAGATTCACTGCAACAATAGAGCGTCGGTTCAGCGGGGAGGGGAACGAGTGAAATGACAAGAAGCCACGAGGAAATAAAAGACGTAGCTTGAGTTCATCTCAGAGGAAATCATCTTACGACTGCCAGCTTCGTGCTCTCTCAAGACTTCTCTGGTATTTTCCTCAGGCCACAACAAATAAGTATTCCCCAACAGTTAATTAAGAACTTATAGTCCAAATGCCACAACAGCTGCGACTCCATCTTACCTCTTTACACTATAGAACAGAACTATCATGAGACGATGGCATTAAGCTCCGTTGATTACATTAACCATGTAGTCAAGACAGGGGTTGGCAGATGAGGACAAAACCACCTTAAAATAAATAAATATTCCTCTAGTAAATACCAGTTTTATAAAAGCCATGGTGCAATGTTGGAAACACCAACACCCTTCAGATACACCGGAGTGATCCCAGCCCACTCAGTGCCACAGTCTTACCTTCCTCTTCTTGAAGGCCTGTCTGGCCAGGTATCCCCTGCAGGCAGCCTGGAACAGAGAGATGTTCCTCCTGGTCTTCACGTCCCGCTGCTCCTCCAGCTTGGACAGAGTCCCTGCTCTGAAGAACACCTGCAGGAGGACAGGGACAGATAGGACAAAGTTTTTTGAAGGTAAAGATACACGATAGGTACAGTTAGGAAACATCACTTCCCAACTTAATGTGATTGTAAAACTAAAAGCTGCGATTTCAAGTGGATTTTAAGGGTTAGGCTTTGGCACACAGACAGAATCGGTGCGGACCTCTGTCCAAATATCTGAGCGCTTATAAATGGCAACACGCCAACCCTGCACTTAAGAATTTCTCAGATAACTTAATATCCAATCACCTTCAAGTATTAACTAGTGAATGGGAACAGAGTGGATTCTGAATTCCCCTCCATCAGTTTATGTCCTCCAAACTTTAAACATGACCAATAAAATCACTGACCTCCGACCTGCAGCTGGTAGGCCTACAGCACGGAAAAGACACATGAGCAGCAAACTTCTAAAAACATGACTGGTGGTGTTAACCGTGGTTGGAGTACCCGACGAGCCGACCAGGTACAGATCCAGGGGTTAATGGGGTAATCTAGGAGATGTGGATCAGAGTTCTAACTCCAGTAAGGATATCATATCCGATCGGGTTTTATCTTCAGTATGTATTTACAGCTACAGCTGCACAGTGCAACACACATCAACCATTTGATGTGGGTCAATTGAGGCCTGGAGCTCACACTCAACACATTATGCAGACAGAAGAAGTCGTCGAGCAGGGACGAGTCAATCCGGGAAGCTAATGTGATAAAATTGCTGCTCTTTTGAAGCTGCTGTGTGTCGCCTCTGGGAAACAGCATCCTGACAAGACGCCACATGCCAGCCCGTAACGCAGGCTTTTACACAGAAAACAATGGGCGTGGGTGTTTTGATATTTCTGTTTGACCCTCTGACGCTTTCAGCATTGCTGCCGAATACTTTAACAGGCTTGCGTAACGCTTTGTCTACTGCCGTCTAGTGTGGTCAACACGTCAGCTGACTGCACTTTGTGCGTTTTAGCTGAGTTTTTCTGTCACAGGGAGCAAAGTAAAATATTATAAAAGTAGTTTGTGGGAAATGACGACATTAGATCTGATCTATCATGCAATGATGTGCAGGAGATATACTGCTATTGCTTTGCCAGGAAACAGGGGGAGGTGCTCACAGGTACACAGGAAGTGAGGGGTTACTGGATGACGACTGGAGCGTAGATTTTCAGCAAAAGCTGAATTATTAATTAGCATGTTTTTTCATCTGTCCTGAGTGAATAAAATCAGACAATCTGGAGATGTTTTTCAGACAACAACCACCAACACTGTTGTGTTGGTGTTGTATTGACTGCTCAGAGAACTGACAAGAAGTCGCCCAGTGTTTGAAGAGATGCCACAGAGGTGGTCCGTCAAAAGGGCTCCGTATGTCCTGTGTTTATTTTGAATATTACCTTACATTGGAGCCAACTGACAAACTGCAGACCTGTTTTCACTGGCAGGAGATCATAGATCAATCCCTGTAAATATCAATCCACGCAAATCTTCAAATGCAGATGTGCATGTTTTCAATGTGCTCTCACTTTGTAAATGTTGCCCAGTGCTGCTCAGAGCTTGTGTTACTGGTTCAGTTCTTCCCTGTGCACAGCAGCTGTCTCACTGATTTTCCTGGCCTGATCATTTTAGTCTCATCCAGAGAGGTTCCGGCGTCTTTCATCTCTTTTGCTGATGATCTGGGCAGCAGTGCTGCTTCCTGAATACCAATGAGAGCACAGTTTCATTTTTGACTGGAAAAGAGTGACGGCCGGCTGACACTGCCCCCCCCTGTAAAAAAAAAAAAAAGAAAAAAAAAAAAAACCTACATCAAAATGCCTCCAACTCCTTCTACATTATTTGTGTCTGGGGACGGACACGTTGCTCTGTTCCTCGGCTCTGAATTAGCTGGCAGCTCTTTATGGAAGTAAATTCATTAGGCAGAGTTTGTGTGATGCGTTGTCCTTCAGAGGATTTGACTGTTCCTTACTCTGACTGTAATTTTCAGAATTGGCTGAGGAGAGGAGAACGTGTGGCTTGGGTTATGGCCAGGAATTAAGACTGTTGTTTAGATTTCATGCGGACCTTGTGACTTCACCACTGTGTAACAACGTTGTAATGTGCTGTAAATATTTACCCAGCCTGCGAGCGTTTTGTGAGCCAGACTTACACTCAGTCCTCTTGAATATTCACTATTTCAAATGCATATACTGACAATCCAACGGGGTCAATCTGGTCATGTAGTGATTAGCACGGCTGTCTCGCAGTAAGACGTTCAAAATCCACCGGCTGGCTATGGCCTCTCTGCCTGGAGCTTGCATGTTCTGCCTGAGCCTGTGTGGGCTTCCTCTGCACTGCAATGGTCTCCTCCACAGTCCGAACATATGCAGGTCACATTAATTCGAGACTCTAAATGGCCAGTAGATGTAAATGGCTGTGAACCCCACCTCTTGCATAGCGTGAATCCGGACAGGTGCAGATCCTGCACAGAACAAGGCTTTATTATGACTGCAGAGTTGGTCCACCCACAAATTCTACAACCATCATCAATTAATTTTCCTCCAGTGGGAAATGTGCTGTGGACCGATGATGACACTCTGGCCTGGGAGGAGACAACACATCTGGTTTAAAATGAACTGCTGTGCTCCTCGGAGACACTTTAGTCAGGCAGAGAGCCACGTACAAGTTGGCAGCGCAACACAGGGACAGCTTGGCAGTGAGAGGTGGTCCACATTTCATGTGTTATGGGTGACACTTTTATGCTGGATGATAATGATTCCTACAACAAAACTCGGGTGTAAGAATAACAGAAAGAGTTGGGTGAACCAGTGTCATGTGTTTCACTGGATGTTGACTGATTCCAAGAGAATCCTCTGTTGCTGCTGCATTATATCTACACCTACAGCATGAACCATTGCTGAATATAGCAGAGAGTTGTGATCATGCCCTGAGACAGAGCTTGGCAGTAAGGTTGGGAAATATGACACCCAACTCATTTGCACCAAGGAATAGCAGCAGTTGTGTTGTCCTAAAGTCTATGCACTTTTTGTCATAGGGTGCAGCACTGTAAAAACCTATGGATGGATTTCATTGCTGCTTTTTTTGAGGTTGTAAGCATGTGGACAGATCTTTGGTAGTTAAGGTTTAAGTATGCTTGAAATGAACGTGTCATCTGACAATATCCAACAGCAAAATTGTGTCGAACTATCCTTGTTGGCAATGTTAAAGGCCTGCCATCATAGCCTCTTTCTGGCTGTACCCAACCCCCTCCTCGATCGCTCTCCGAGAACAACCTTGTTTTGCATCTTTGTAGTCTGGTCACAGTAAAAATTACAATTGGAAATACTGGCACAAATGTTTGTTTTTAATGGTCTTCTAGCGAGGCTGAAAAATGAGGCCGACACGAAAGTGCCAAAAACTGCAGTTCCTCTAATGACCACTTGAGGCCGGCTCCAAAAGTGAGTCAATCCCCATAGACTTTGCTCCTTCTCCTCTTTGCCCATTTATGGATTAGCCAAGAGTTAGGGGCGGAGTCAGGCACTGCCAAGATGGCGATGGTGGAGCAGCTCACTCTGAGCTTCAAAACCACTCTTCAGAAACTTACGGGTGACGTCACAAAGGCGAGGTCCATCTTTATTTAAAGTATGTCTTGTACTCATTTTGAAAGAGAAAGTTAAATCCTGCCTTCTCTTGCCTACACAATTTTGCACACCTGGCCAATTGCTACGTAAACTGAATGTGATTGTCTCGCTAATACTCATCTTTCCTGTTTTTCTATCTGACCGACATATAACTGGTTGAAAATAGCATTCACTGTGTCATGTGAATCATTGTTTCACCACTTTTCAAACAATGTACATTATCGCTGATGTAAGGAAGTTTTCGTATTCCCAAAATTAAATAAGTAATATATTAATTAGTTTCTATCACGCAGCCCAACCCAGCAGTTATCAACTATATGTAATTCTCCACTTTGGCGCCGCATATTTATTCAATCTCTCACAGCGCATGATGTACACAGTTTAATTATAGTATATAAATAACATAAGTGGCCCAGTGTGTGGGTTGGTGACACTTCCCATGTGGGTTGGTTGGACCTCTGCGTATCTCATCTGCCAGTAAAACTAACGTGAAACAAAACCCATTAGTAACATTAGAAATGTGAACATCAGAAGACAATAAAGTTTTGACTTGAAACTTTATCTGAACTTGGGGAAACTAGTGGGCAGAGTGTAGAGTGACAAGCACCAACACAAAGGCAAGGTTAAACTCCCTGCCAAGAAACTTCTCTAATTGACAGCTAAAGGCGCACACTGTTTTTTATTCCACAGACATTCACAGATCTAATTAACAAAACCATCAGCCTGTCTTTTTCCTTGTGATTAGCTGGTTTTTTTTTGGTTTTTTTATCTCAAAGACTTGGAGTTTGGCAGCGTCTGACTGCTGCTTGGCAAAGGTCGCAGACACAGAGAGCCACAGAGATCAGCCGCTGCCCATAAAAAGAGAACAATTTAAAACAACACACACCAGGACAGCTGAAGGTGAGAATAGTAGTGTTAAGATTTGTCACCGCGTAGGAACAAAACAGCATTGATTTCTTGATGCCTACTGCACCTTTTGCTAGAAAGGCAGGTGAAAAGAATAGAAAATGTTTCTAATTATCTGTGTAATTGAGAGTGTCACTGAGTGAAAAGACACTGGGGCCTGAAGCACAGTCATTCCTCCTTGATGGTGATACAAAAGACGCAACTGCCAAAGAAAGTATTTTCAGGACGAGCTGCCCATACAGAGAGTCTGATTTCATATGAAGTCTCCAGTGTTTTATGAGTTTCCTTCAATGAACTAGCGACTGTCTCAAAGTCAACATCAAAAGAAAGAGTTAAGTTTTCTGGGGAAAAACACAATAGAGTGTATTGTAATAGTTTAATGGTCTACATGTTAAATTCAGTAATTCCATCACTTCTCCTTCACTAATAAATTTCAGTCTTTAATTTGTTCAGTGTTTCCCTACTGCAGAGACTACATTGTCATGACGTTGCAATTACATGACTCTGCAGAGGGCGTTTAATTTGAAACAACGGACAAAGTGGAGACACGTGGCCGAGAAAAGACGGCAGAGAGAGAAAGACGAGAGAAGGGAGAGAGAAGTAAATTTACCTAGCTATCATTAAATCGGATATCACCTATTGATATTCACTCTACTGCACACCACCCAGATACAACAAAACCCATCATAGTCTGACTGGTCATCAGGCATACCGGGTCAAATCCAAGTGGGTTGCCACGTCGGTGGGCCGGTGGACATCAAAAAATCCATAAAGTTTTTACCGGCCCCGTTGTGTCAGTCTCTCTACTGTCTCTCTGTGTGCCTGTCATTCAGGGTGCTCATGAGAGCGTGTGGTCCTGGACTGGGCTCACTTCACCGACATAGGTGTAGTGCTGCTGGAGCACAGCAGAAAAGCGCTCTGCGACATTTCTTTTATCCAAGTTAGGGAATAGAATATTTATAGTTCACATGACCTGGTTGAAATTCATTTTAGGTGGTTGAAGATCCAATTATCACTAAAGTCATGCAAGAGAGCCAATAAAAACAAATGGAATGGCCAAAGTTGTCATATTCACATTTAAGGTGTATTAATTGATTCACGTCAACTCATGCAGCGAGTGATATTCCACCTTAAAAGAATTAAATTACTTTTTCTACCTAACTATCTTAAATGAGTAAAGATCATCATTCACTCTTTTGATTGTTTCTTTTCTTCTTTCTCTTCTTCTTTCTCTTGTGATGGATTTGCAAAGAAACATTACAGCATCCTGTTAAACCTGCGTCTACAACTCCTTCCCTCCCATGTGTGACTGTAAAAGCCTCCTAGAAAAGCGAGTGATTATGTCCTCTAAGACACTGTAAGGCTTGTAAAACAAAATATCTGTACAGGAAGTGTTGAATTTCACTGGTCACAACCTGAACAACACTATTGTGCAGTCTTAACATTCCTTATATGTATAATGAAAAGTGTGCATGTGTATGTAGGTGACTCCACTCACCCTGCTCAGCCCCATGTAGTAGCTGCTCTTCTCCAGCTCCAGGGACTCCAGCAGCTCCTCCACTGCCTGGAAACCAGCAAGACAAACCATCAGTCCACACATAAACAAAAACAACCCCACTTTGTTCTGGGCCTTACCTCTGCATGATCACATGACCCGGTTGCCCAAAGGATGATAGCTTGGTGCCATAGCAACAAACACCATTCCCCCCCTTAACACCAGCTAACACAAACACATACACACACACACACACACACACAAGCACACACTTCCCCTCGATCTGCCTCGAGGAAGTTGACAGCACAAAACAAAGTCAGACAGAGAAGGTTCTCAGGTTGCTTTTCTCTCATTCATTGTGTCAACTCAACCTTTAGAAGACAAACTGCAGACTGGGACTGAACTCAGAGGTTTTTAAAGGCTGATACTGGGATTAAATATTAACAATCGCAATGGCAATATTTGGTAATATTTGCTAAAACTGGGCATTAAAGAAGAAAAATGTGTTTCCTTTCTTCCCATGAGGCGACCCTTTGTCCTATGTGCTGCAATAGTTACAGTCAAATTTGGCTATTCTCAGAGCCTTACCCGTAATAAGGAGAAAAATGTTCGTGATGAGGGTGGTGCTACAGGAAATACCACGAGACGACCACTGGAGGCAGCGTGCTCTGAGGGTCTCTGATGTAGTTTTTGTTAACTACAACACACCCAGTACGTACACACACCTTTTTCAAGAATCCCCCGGTCATGGGGACATGATTTAAATCCTACAGGGGAGGAACACACCCCAACGGTGACAATGAAGCATCAAAAACAGGGTTTGTTTTTAAGACTGTCTTCACCAAAGTAGATCTGGGAATATGCAGAAGAAGTCAAACTAACCAGGAGTTTGTTTACAACTTCTTTGATGATTTTTTTTTTTTTGCCCCAAACGTCGTTATAATGATGTCACCATGTTCCCAGATCTCAGCAATGAACTCGGTGAGTCAAAAGTTGAATACGAAGATGAACAAAACAACAAAAACACAATCCAAGTTGTAATAAAGCAGAATTATCCTTTAAGATTTCTCACTTAGCTTCAAATGCCCTGCTTCATTTAGAATCTAATGGTACCACTTCATGTGACCTTTAAACAAATTTCATGGCGACCTATCAACTGGATTTGGAGATAGTTTGAGCACAAAGTTGACATTTTGACTTGAGGACTCCAGAGGAAAACTCATGGGCCGTCGTAAAGGATTCATCGCTTGCTTGCTCAGTGCATTTCAAGGCATCCTGCTCATCAGACTCTATGTGTACAAGTGAGAATTTTGTCCCGTTGGTGCCAATAGGAGAATGTTCACAGGGTCACAGACATCATTAAGAGGACGACCGCCACCAGTTTGAAAAGTCACTCATTCAACAGAAAGGTTACGAACCTGGGGCATGGAGTTTGAAAAATGTTGGCTTTTACTCGACAGGTAAGATCGAACAAAAGATACTTTCTAGTGGCATTAATGGAAGTGTGGGATCTTTGGTTTGATTGATACTGTGTATAAAAGTAAAAAACAACCTCAGTCACTGCTTTTTTTTTTTTTTACCGGACTTGGGAAATATCTCAACAAGTCTCCCAACAAGCTGGGGGACGTGTTGAGATCTCTCACTCTGATTCAAGTTTTCTGTCGGACCGACTCTCTGGGACAGAGTGCTGACAGGAGCGTTTGTATAATGTGGTGGATTTCCTTCCTGCTGTTTGAAAAGAAAAGCTCTTGGCAGGTACATCATCTGGCTTCTGACATCATGGCTACATCACGTTGTAGTAAAAGGAACTGACAGAACTGGGCCGTCAGCAAAGAGAAAGAAAGACGAGGGTTTTTTCTGGCGAATAAAAATAAAAAAATATTCAGAGATAGGCTTGGCAAACCAATATTGTCTTTCCCTCGCTTTCTCATTCTCTGAAAACCAATTCTTTCATATTGTTGCTCCAATTATCCGCCCTTCTCGCTCTCAGACCGCCTCCTTTCATCTTTTCATTCTTTTGCTTTCTTTCTTCTTCGCCGTTCATTCCTGACTCCCCAGAGAACCGGGCACCATTAGTTCTTTCTGAGTGGGCTGTTCTCTCTAAGCTCATCTCCAAGGAACCACGTGAGCCACTTATTGCCAGTGTGTTGTGGTGTGGTAAAGAGAGAGAGAGAGAGAGAGAGAGAGAGAGAGAGAGAGAGAGAGAGAGAGAGAGAGAAGGAGAGAGAAAGAGAGAGCTTGATTTCACTGATCTGCCTAATTAATCCAGTTTAATCTCCTCTGTTGACGGCGGCTATTCGTTTAGATGTTCCTTTCATGTTCATAGGCGGGCGTTCAGCCAATCAGATTCATTATTATCACAATTCTCTACCTTTTTGAGAAGAAACTTTAGCACATCAGGTATAGAGGGCCTTAATGTAAAGACGTTTCGCCTCCAGCAGCTGCACCTCCCACTCATGAAGGCTAATCACGCCTTTGTGCAAAGCTGCTATACACTGCCTGAACAGAACGTAGAGGAGACATTAATCATATGCTCAGGGACGTTTCTTAAACTGCTCTGATTCCTATACAAAAGGAACGGAAAGATAGCGAGACAAAAAAAAAAAGGTGGAAAGAGACGAGGGAATGGAAAGGGAGAGGGAGGAAGGGAGGGCGGGAGAGAGAGAGAGAGAGGAGGAAAGAACGAGCTCTTCCCTCCGCTGGTAATTAATCAGTACAGTAGCCGTATGCTGCCAGCCTGCGCAATCATAATTAATTACACACAAGAGCGCTCTTGGAGCAGGAAGAGGACAGCGGAGAGAGGAGGGCGAGAGGAGAGGTGAAATAAAAGGATCCTGTTCACACTGAGAGATCAGAATGTGGAGGACAAGAGGCGAAATGCTGAATATCCAGATGTTACAGCTTCAGCATTCCCCCGTTTTTTTCTGGTTAGCAAATAGCTGAGATTTTTTTTTTTTTTTTCTAGGAGGCACTCCAGTGATTTTAGCATTGCATCGGAATTAAGTTTGGAGGATTTGGAGACAGAGTGATCAACACTGGTGCGGCAGAGGCTGAGATATTCTGACTTTAACAGCACAGTTAATAGATTCCCATAATGCAGCTCGATAGCATACCTTCATCGTGCTGCATTCCATTTACCTCGGGAGTCGGACGTCAGAGCGGGGAATGTCGTCACGCTCGAGTTGACTGCGTTCCAGTGCTCCCTTGTTGCTGTTGTCGTTAGCGATACCGGTTGCATAACAACGCATTACTTATTGCTGTGATTTGCTCATTCAAACAACTGTGCTAATGAACAGTCAGAGCCGCCATCTTGGATTCCGAGGTCGGGGTTAGTGAGTTTTTTTTCTGACCTCGGGGAGCGTTTCTGGTTGAAACTCCGACTTCCCGGTTCAAATGCAACGCACCATTAGATGCACCCTGCCTGGTGAACAGCCACGCCTTTGAAACTTCTCCCTTCCCGTTTGTCTGAGGTTAAATAACCCTGATGACATCATCACGGCCTTTCTTGACAAAGCTCCTCCAGAGCCGCAGACGACATTATACAACAGTTTTTATAGGCTAAGTAGTACTAACCATGACAAGTTAATGAATGCTTCCTCCTAACAAGTGCTGCGTGATACATCTTATTCCTGCATTGTTGTCCATAAACACATTAATGAGCCACACCATCGCTCTGGGCGACATGTTCCTTCATTACCATGAACATACACTGTGGTTCGTTTTGACTCTGTCCCACATACATCATCCTGCCGCCCAAAATACTCACTAGAGCGCCAAATTAATACTGAAGATTTATGTCTTCAGTGGGAACCAATGAGCTTGGGGCTGAGAAACACAGACAAGGATGGACAGACCAACACACTGTGGATTTCAGTCTTTTTACGGGTGAAGTAAAAACAGCCTAATCCTTTCAAATCAATGACACTCACTGCGACAATAAGAATCGTACTAGAACCCACGAATGATGCATTTTTTAAGGCCTTAATGTGGGAAATCTAACAACATCAGTATCAGGCTAAAACCTGCCAAACAAACACTCACCCTCTTCTCATCCGTGACAATGTAGTGGCGGCCATGCTTCTTGGTCAGGTGTGGTGCCAGGACATCAAAGCGCCTGCGGAACTCGGAGAACACCATGTGGTCTGGATATCCTGGAGGTAGATACGGAGCAGAACAGAGATTAGAGCACACACACACACACACACACACACACACACACACACACACACACAAAAAAAAGAAAAAAAAAGGAAACCCAAAGTGCAGCTGAGTCTGAGTCTGCAGCTAGTGGAGAGCCAACAGCGTGTCAAAGGTCAACTTTTATTTTCAAAAGAAATAAAACCAGAAAAGAAACAAAACCAAAGAGAGGATTTAAGAGTAAAGAGACAAAGTTAGAAAAGTTTGACTGGTGGAAATGTTCAAGGTCACAAAGGTTTGTCAAGCTTTTAGAGAGGTACAGTAACCAAAGCCTGTGGGAAGAGAGTTTCATACTGGGACAAAGAGCTAAAGGACCTAAAAGCAGCACCTTTGAATAATTGGACAAAACTGGGTTGAAGGTTATTGGAACCCTTTCAGATTCTCTATTTCTGGAAGTTTCATCAGGTTTGATCAGTGGCTTCAAATGATTTGGGCAAGAGGAAAGTGTAGAGTTCAAAGACGTCATCAGAAAAACAAATGAGCACTGGACGAGTTTGAAAAGAAGGTTAAATTTGAGGACATTTTGTACCGGACAGTGAAGTTAAGATTAAAGTTTAATGAGAATTCCAGATTCTGTATTGTATTTCAATGAAGCCGGAGGGGTCGCAAGAGACATGAAGCAGAGGTCCAGGTACCTTGATTTTTAGTGCCAAGTAAGCCAGTAAACTTCTTTTCTATATATTCTTTCATGACCAGAGTAACAATATAATTCAAAGGTGTGAAATGTCATGAAATACAACAAGAATTTAGGAGAATAGTGAAATATAAAAGAATGAAAACAAAATAAACACAATTTTATACAACTCGCGAAATGTTTCAGCTAGCAGTGGTCTGAGATGTGGAGTGATTCTTTTATCAGACTCCATTATAGGAAATAAAAGAGGCATCCAATCTTCGAATGATTGGATCAAGTAAAATAGGACCAAGTATTGACCCTTGTGGGATCCCACATGTCACAAGAGTCAAGGAATAAATGGCCATCATGCAATCAATAACATCTTTTCATGGCCCATAGATTCTCTGTCTGTCATTTAAATAAACACATAAATACCCAGGTTTCCATAAGTGTCTCCTCACCTTGCCTGTAGATGCGAAGTGCATCCAGCAGCTTTGATCCTCGGAGCTGAGCTCTCAGGAGGCCGACGTCCAAAGTCATAAGGCCTGAGTCGGGGCTTTCTCCGTGCGTCACTCGGGGCTCACCACCTCCACCCACTGCCTCTGCTTTGGGCAGCAGGCAGTGGACGAAATGAACCCTGGAGCGACGCACCATGTCTATCAGAGCATCCTGAAAAACAGAAAGTTTCATCAGCTGCTGCTTGATGTTGGTCGGTGAAAATGATTAGACCTTTAGTTGTGTTTAAGATGTGTTTAAAATTACATGATCTCACCAAGCTTGCTGTTGACCTCAAAAATAATAACCGTTCCCTCCGCTTACCACTTGGAGCTTGACCTGGATACACAGGCTCTTCTTCTTGACAGCAGCCACACCTGTAGTGAAGGTTTTCCTCATGCTGGTGGCTCGTCGCAGGGCGAGCTGAGAGCTGCCCTCAAGACCGGCGATGGAGCCCGACAACACTGTGGCCCCACTGGCCCGGCCCATGAACAGCCCACTGATGTTCTTCCTGAGGTGGCAGAAAGATGGATTGCATTTACATACACTGAGCACTTTATTAGGAACACCACACTAACACAGGCTAGTTGCACTACATCATTTCTGCAGATTTCTCAGCTGCACATTCATGCTGTCAATCTCCTGCTCTACCACACTTCTGCTTTGTGACATTGATTATTTTATGCACTGCTGCCACATGATGATGGGATAATTGCAAGATTAAGCAGGTGTTCCTAATAAAGAGCACAGTGAGTGTATATGCACACACGTGACTAACAGCACATGTATTTCTTCCCACGCAGCACCAGCCGGTGCTACTACAACATACAGGGAGCTGATCTGACTGTATTATTGGCATCTTCCACTGTCTGGAGACCCACATGTTGGCAAGCTGCTGCCTTCATCATTTGGCTCACTGTTGCCTACTGCTCTCAGAATGCGGATCTCACTTTTTACAAAACCCTTATGGATACCGATGCTCTGAATTTGATACGTAACATTGAAAAATACTGAACATAATGATAAATTCAAGAACTTCAATGTTGCATTTTGAGCTTGATCAGTTTAATAAACATGGATGAAAGCAACCTATCATCTTAAGAAATGCATGAAGCCCCTGAAAAATCTTTTTAGAACTTCACATACATTACCATCAGCGTTTCATAAATCTCATTAATTTCTACTGTTTGAGTCAAATGGGATTTTCTTGTTTAAATGGTAATAAATTATGGTGCAGTAATGATTCCAGTGACCTCCATTGTACGTGGTTGGAGGCAGAAATCTCAGAGATTGATATCTTAAAACCCTGACAAATAAAAACTGAAATGATCTGCATGGATAGATACCACAGGAGGTAAGTCAGGGAATGTGTTAGTTTTCTAATTTGGGTGAATAACTCCTGATGATTAATCGCCAACTTTTTCAGTCCACAGGCAATTACATTACTCCAGCTAGTCAGTTTGTTTGATTGCCACCCCTCATATATTTCTACTCTCTAATAAGGATTGATATTACAGAGATTAAATGTGTGGAAAGTCATCTGGTGCATGCATGAGGAACTGGTTGATTTAAACAGATACAGCTCAGCACTGGAAACACCGGATGTTCTGTGTGTAGGACTGTGTTACACATACTTCTGGGAGTCCTGCAGGAGTGTGGCAGCGTTCTGGGCGGCGGGGTTGTGCTTGGCGTGGCTCAGCCAGCCCTGAGCATTGTACTCCACCCAGTTTGTCCCGTGGCTGTGACCGAGCAGGAAGAGGTGGGGCTTCTCTCCTCGCAGCAGCAGACTGGCCCCTGCAACACACAGGACATATCTTCACGATGGTGTCGGGAGAAGGATGAGCGCTGCTTGTGACAGGCCGAACGCTCACCTTTGTTTTCTCCCTGTGCAGAGCCGTAGTAGCTGAAGAGTCTCTCCAGCATGGTTTCCTCTGAACCTCCAGGCTGAACTGCCTCCTCCTCCATCAGCCACAAGAGGCCTCGAGCCTCATCGGTCCGGGCCAGAGTGCGTACCTGTGGTGGACATGAATAGTCACCTGGTTCTTCTTTTACAAACACTTTGACCTTGATGGAAAAAATCCTGAGGTCAAACCCAGATGTGTACAAAATCCTTAAATCATCACTTAAGCTCATGAGACAATGTGCACGTACGAAGCAGCCTAATATCCAACAAATAGTCAATATAACATAGTTAAATACATTCAGAAGCAAATCATGCCTGTTTTATTTTAAAAAAAAAACAAGACTAGGTCGAAACCGAGCACCTGTCTGGACCACCTATGGTCAAATCCTGACTTTATCACTGTGACATCGTCTGACAAAATCACCAAACACATATGTGAAAGACAAAGACTGAGCTGTGATTTCAGCTGTTTTTACTGAAAAATCATCAGTCAGAGAGAAAGTTACAAGACTAGCTTGGTTATTTAGCTTTGTTTTCAGTTGCTCCCGTCGCTCGTGTGAAATACGTGCAATACGTGTTAATACAAACTCAACACTTCCTGTGGCCATTTCAAATTTAAAGCCCTTTAGTGTTTCAGTGGGCAGAAACCCTTTATTTTTTAACTGGGCTTTTATTGCTGTGCTGCAGTAAGAGTATTGTCTCATTTCCGGCTGCTGTCGTTTCTGTTGTTTACATGCTATTCAGATTTGCTAGTTACTTTAGCAGTTAGCGATGACTTCTCTCTCTCTCCTGCTCTCTCTACACGGTGTGTCTCATGTTTAGTTATTCCTCTGCCTCAATTAATAATAATGATACATGTATTGAAAGTAGTTTATGTGCTGTAATGGAGGCGAGGCTCAGTGTATGGGAAGCGCTCCTCCTCTTCCCTGCAGCTCCTGAGCATACTGGTTTTGTTTGAAAAAAAATTCTCTAAATCTAGCAACAATGTGCTGAGTTGGCAACACTGCAGGTGCCAGAAACGCCAACTCAGTGACGAGGCACTCGGCTGACCAGTGGTGGAAATACCATCACTCAGTCAGTCAGGGACGTGCTAGATTACAGGGCTGGCCCCACTGTTCAGCGGTCCAGTCAAAAACTAAAACATAAAAACAAACGCTACAAGTCGACATTACATTTAGTGCTCACTCTATTTCCACCTTTCAACATGGTGACATTAGACCCTGACCAACCACAGCTTGCCATTTTTCCAAGCTCATTGTCATTCCCTGATGCTCCGGAGCCGTCAGATGGGGCCACTGTCAGACTGTGTCTTCTGCTCTCAGCATAAAAGCATAGAGGTTTTTCTCATTCAGAAAATTCCACTTAAACTGTTTTAAACTGTAATTTCTCCACATGATTTTGAAAGCCAAAACTGGACCACATGGTGAGCTGTCTGCAAATGAGGCCAGTAATTGTTGTAACTGCTGTTACTATGGAGAGGAACGAGTCAGAGCTGCAGCATGTTCAGAGCACTTCATCGCTTCATCATTGCTACTGTGAACAAAATGCTGAACAAACATCAGGTCAAAGTGTCATCAGCAGAAGTTAAGAGTTTGCCGGTTGGATATTTGTTCGTGAATTGCACCTCGGGAGTTGACTCAGACTCTTCTCTCTTTTTTCAAACACAGTCGTTCATCTTTCACAGTGACAACTTGACCGGGAGTTATAATGTATGTCAGAAATAGAAAATAAAGAAGAGTTTAACTTTAACTTCCTGAACCCTGGGCACCTGAAATAACCCCCGCCCACTTTACGGCTCTGTAGCATCTCATTGGCCCAAACACTGTTCAAGCTACTTCCTGAGCTTCCTCTCTTCACAGTGATCTTCGTTATCTTTGTACAAACACTTCAGAAATAATTTGTTTTTGCTCAGTTCATTCAGATGCCCTCCTTAAGACATTTAGTGGCCATTACGCAATAAAAAAAAAAAAGTCTTGTGAGTGTTAGCCTGAAGCTAATTTCTTGATTTAACCATTTAATCTAAAGGAATACCACTCAATTTGAAAGGGCTTTTTTTTACCTGCTGGAAGTCTCAGGTCTCTGTTTTTTTAATATCAATTTATGCAAACTGGGTTCAGTTAGGTTTTCTATGGGTTTGGTATTAAACGGGTCCAAAATTTAGGACCCGTTAAGATCAGTCATCAGCCGATTTGACAGCAGGTCTGTGATTTTTTTGTAGCTTCAAAAATGAGTTTCACAACAGCTGTTTGTTTTTTAACTGCTGGCGTCAACATGATCTAACTGTCCAAAGCAGAAGGCAAGGAGCGTATCCTGCTTTATCATTTACTCTAGATAATAAAACACCCCATGTGTTGTATCCTCCATATTATATTATATACAATATTTGAAAAGTGTGGAGGTCATGTAGTAAATGTAATAAGCTTCCTATAGAACAAGCAAACTGATAAACAATCTTTAGGTGCTTGGACATGAGGCTTCAGTGAACCTTAACGCAGCCTCATAAACAGCTGATTAACATAATGACTGCTGCTCTTCTCGTCGGCCAAAATGTCTGAATCCTGCTCCCTGGCTTCCTCCCACTATTATTAGTCATTTCATACAGCGGGATTCTTAAATATGTGTGCTTGGCAGAGATCAGGCTAAATCTAAATGAGGAGGTGGAACCTCTGCAAACAGACAGGCTTTGATGAAAACAGAAGGTTAACTGACTCTCATTAAAAGAAGAGATGATGTATTGTGCTGCTGAAACCTAATTGGCAGCCAAAGGTGCAATCTGGAGCCTTCACAGAGATAATTCTAAATAAGCTTGTTGTTGTCTGACCATAAATAACAAGCCAGTGATTTAGCTTTGCTCCGTGTATCATTTGATATCAAGTTATAGTGTGTTTGCATATTGTCTCCTTTTTGTATCACCACATTTTGTGTGAATCCTTTGCCAATGAGACCTCCAAATTAGAACACGGTTCGTTTCTTGTTGCCCTTTAAAGACGTTTTCTGATCAGTCGCCTCTATCGACAGAATGACATCATTTGTCAGTACCTTTTGAAGCCTCCAATAGCCACCGCTATGATTCAAGTTTGTTTCTGTTTAGTCTCAACAACTTTGTCAGGTTTAGGGAACCTAATTAATGCTAAACAGTACGTACAGCTGAGGCTGAAGGGACTGTCATTAGTTTTGGTCATAAAACTAGGTGATATGAATGTCTCTACCAGATATCACAGCCGTCCATCAAACAGCTGTCGAGGCATTTCACTCAAAGTGACATAAGTGAACGTCACAATGGTGCTAATAGAGAGATCATTAGGATACATCATCAGGGAACTATTAATGTGTGTACAACATGTTGCGCAAATCCATCCATTAGTTGTTGACATAATTGACAGAATAAGTCAAAACTTTGCTGGTGGAACTACAGGAAAGATCGGGGACATCCTCAAAGTCAGAGGAGTTTCGTCCTCTGGGAACCATGAATATGAACATCTGTTTCAAATTTCATGACAGTCCGTGGAATAGTTGTTGAGATATTTCAGTCTGGACCAAAGTGGTGAAACAACCAACCAACCAACACGGCCGATAAACCCTAACTGATGCAGCTGGACAACAACAACTGTTAACTCTAAGTGTATTCACACGACCAATTCTTCCAATCTAAAACTACTTGTTCAGGACTTCTTCGTTGAGGTCAGGGAACCTTTTTCTTCACAGCTAAGAGAAGAAAAGGTTTGGTTTAGTTTAGCTACAAAACCGATGTTGATTTTAGGGAATCCTTATCGTCAACAATGACACATACGGACATTTTGAAACGTACCTTTTTGTCGGTATGTCATCGTTTGTCCGTGTAAACCATTACAAAAAGGATTCACATGACTGTTTCCTGATCTTCTCTTAATATGATTTATCCAGTCTAATCCTTTAAGGCAAGGGTACCTTTGTTCTTAGGGTGAAGAGAAGAACTACTTCGTTAAGGAATGATTGTTGTTATTGTTAAAAGAGACTGTTGGTAGAAAACAGGCTGTGAGCAGTGGTCTCCTGTGGCTTCTATTTTAGAAATGTCCTGTATGAGAATTTCGAGCCTCTATTCACAGGAGAAGATCATTCGTCAGCACCTTCAAAAACCACAAAGCTTAAAGAACCTTGCTGATGCCCCTAATACAATTAGAGCTCAATCTGCAATGGTGTAGTTCACACCTCTCTAACACACAGGAATATTTAGCCTTGCTTTTATCAACTCAAACTCAACACAAACCGACCAACAGGTCATTTGAAATAAAGAACTTGTTCATGCCAATTCACATCAAGGCTGCAGGTTTTCTGCAAAGGCCTGATGCCGCACACATTTGTACCACTGATAATTGCGAGGGCTTTGCAGTAAGAAGCCAAATGATGAGCAGAGAGAGAGAGAGACGCCAACAAGACTGAAATAAATCACAAAACCTGATTCCAATTAATATTACTGGAGTAGAATGAATTCCAAAAAGAAATGGAGCAAATTGAGACACGATCACAACGAGCCAAACTAACAGGACGGAGGCGCCAGGCCTGGCGCGGCATTTAAATGATCAGTGTCGGCTTCTGTTTCTGGTTAAAAGGTAAAGATTTCATTCCACAAAATATCACAGATTGTAAACATTAAATACCTGGACAGATGAATAAAAATAATTCAAATGAGCTCAGAGAAGGGAGATCTTATTAGACTGGAACAGATTAATTCATAAATTGTCATGTACTTCATAGAAAATATGAAAAAAGTTCCAGTTGATAATTTGATTACAAGAAGTTAAATAGTAAGATCATCCCAGGCCTCTGTTGTGAAATTTAAAGTCAGCCATTTTAAAATTTAACAAACTAATAATGACCATTAAAATGAGAATTTCTATAGCTTTTTTATTAGAAAGCAGCTAAAAGAAAAAGAGCTCTGGCATTATCTGGTTTCCGTATTGTTGTGGGCCGCCAACATTTTTGAGATTTGAAAGTGGGCCATGCGTTGGAGAAGGTTGGAAACCACAGGTCGAGACCAAGTTGATCCACCCTGGTGTGGAATATATGAAATGTGTGTATGTTATATATAAAAAAAAAACATTATTACAAGAGAACAGAACACAGAACCTGGTGCAAGGGAATGTAAAGTTACAGTATTTAAATACTGGCACTGCTCTCCGTTCACTGACACATCTCAACAAAACAAGTTTCTGCTGCACGGTGCATCAGTGTCTTCACAAGTCAAATACACAAAGAGCAGAGTTTTCCTTCCTGGATCTCAGATCAGCTGGTTTTAGCACACAGTGATTCTGGCTTTGCTAGATTAGCCCAAGAGCTACAACTATTTGCACTTGCCAGTGGTGATGAACGGGGCTATTTGCTGGCTCAGTCAGGCTACGGCATGATTTGCACTAATGTCTCTGAATGAGATTAAAACTCAGGCACAAACAAACTTCCCTCGAATCGGAGCCTGAACGCTTGACTGAGAAACAAACACAAACTTAATGCGTGTTCTTATGAACACCACACATTTCTCTCACAATGGGTTTCAGAGCACAGTCACGTCACATGCACAGTGAGACAGTGTGGTGAGGTTTCTTATGCTTACCAGAGCTTGGGTTGAGGCTTGGTCAATAGCTGCTACAGACTGCGAGGTACTGCACTCTATGTCATCTAAAGCAAGCTCTATGTTTTCCTAGATGCAGGAGGGGATAAAGGCTCAGGTTAGTAACCTACAGGGAGCAGAGGATGACATCATCAATACAACACAAGTGCAGCTATTCAGATGTGTTATAAAATTAGACATTAATAGACTGTAGATTGGGTTGTGTAAGTGTGCATTTGGTTGTAATTAGCGTACTTATTTGATTTTGCAGAGATCTATAATTAAGGTAATTTGTCTTTGAATGTGATTCGACTACAGTGAATAAACTGGAGAGAATGGAGATTTCTAAGAGTTTGTCAGAGGGTTGGATTGATCTGTGTGGGTTCTGCAGCAGCTTTAGACGCTGCACCATCCAATCTCTGAACACGTGAATATTCATGAGAGAATTCATGTGTGTATGTGCGGGTGCTGATGCCTTATTGCTTGTATAAACATAATCTGTACATATGTTCTCAGTTACCTTTGGTGTTATGTATCCATGCAGATGGATGGAGAACTACCTCAGGTTTCAGCTTCCACCCAAAACAATGGAGTTGAACAGAATCCAAGATAATCCCCATACCTTGTTGTCAAAAGTTCTCAATGGAATTGCTTCCGACAGTGACAATAACTGCTGAACAACATGTTCTGTACATTATCCAGACTGTCTACATGGTTTTAGTTTTGTTATTTTATCATGAGCCCTAATGAATTTCCATTGGCCTCCGCTGTGTTGGGGTGGAGGTGGGCAAAAGACCAAGTAAACACTAAACTCTCTTCATGGGTAGATACCATAAGAAGTGAGACAATAAATCAAAAAGAAAATATATAGCTAATGTGTAATCTGCTTAATACTGTGCTCTGTCAGCTCAGCAGCACCTCCTTGTATCTCTCCAGCTCCTGGACGAAGGTGCGTTCGTGGAACAGGGTCTGCAGCCGCTCCTGGGTGTAGTTGTGGCAGAGCTCCTCGAAGGTGGCCCCCCGCTGCTGCTGAGCCAATCGGGGGTTCTGGAAACCCGGGGTGTCCACGATCAGCAGGGAGCACAGAGAGTGCTGACTGGACTTCAGAGCCCTGAGGGACAAAAAAAAACGGGATCATGAAGCTTCGGTGATGCTGCAGGTTGTTGCACGTCACATTTACAATCATATTAACACCATCCACGTTCTGAATATTTTACCGAAAACCAACATGCGGACAAACAGGTGGACAAAATAAAAGAAACACCTGTGCACAGAGTTCGTGTGCAAAGTACCAGCTAATAGATAAAGTCATGAACGTCTCATGAGAGACTTTCTTTTAGACTAACGCATAACAATTGTGTTTTGTTGACGTTTCTAAAAATAAATTGAATAAACTTTTATTTTGTACAAAACTTCAGTGGAAAAAGTGAAATGACATTGAAGTGACGTGAAATCACTAGAATTAGTTGACATGTACAACAAGTAGTTGAGGCTTCCATCTGCCAACGTTTTGAAAAGGAGTCGGACCATCAGCTTCAGTCTGAGCACTTTAACTGTGAGATCTGAGGTGACGTGTGATGAAAGGAGTTCAGGTACGAGTTACACTGGCTTTTTTTTTTTTTTAGATTTCATTGTAAATGGATAAAATTGCCATTTTTTTCTCACCACTCAATCAATGACAAAGTGAAAACATGTTTTTAGAAACTTGAGAAAACTGAAATCTCTCCTTTAAAAAAAGTTTTAGACGCTTTTCTTTGGCTCTGAACTGTGGCTTCCTGTTCGCTTTAATTAACCTTGAGATGTGTCTGGAACTCGGCTGGAGTTCACCTGTGGCAAACTGAATTGATTGTGCACCCCGAGTCAATGTTTAGAGAGAAAGAGACTTTGTGCCTGGAGCTGTCTCTGATAAACAGACATATAATGCCTGTGAATAAAACTCCCTAAAGGATTCAAAGAACATAGTAAATATAAGAATAAATAAATATCGTGAGCTCTAACCTGTTAATGAGGGAGATGACGAGAGTGAAGAGCTCCGAGTAGAGTCCTGATGCCATGGCCTCCAAACACTCCAGAGCTGTGACCTTAGAGCCTGAGAGACAGAGGGTCAAGGGTCAAGGGGGGGGGGGTTTAATCAAGCTTTTACACACCTTCTGAGCTGCTTGGCTGATAGTCGGATAGTTTTGGAACAAACAGAGACGACATGTGAAACCTGGGAAGCAAACCTGGGAAACAACCACTTGGGGTTGGCAGGTAAACCTCGAGTCTTCTTGGGTACTGACCAAATGGACCACAGAAAACTGTCAAGTACCAAGATTTGGCTTCAAACATTTGGCCACATTTTTAGTAGATATATATTTACTTTACTTTATTTTATCAGGGCAGGGGCTTCCTGCTACAAGCAGTTCAGTATCTATCCATCATATCAGGGGCGGGGCAGCAGATTTTTAGTGAAAAGCCGACATCAGTGAGCACATGATCCAACAAGGGAGATTCAAGACTCTGCAGTCTGGATTTTTACCTGAGCTGTCACCTTGGCCGGCCTCGTCCTGCGCCCCCCTGAACGAGGTGGAATGCTGCAGTCCTTTGGTCTGGTGCTTAAAGATGGAGGAGGACAGCTCCTCCAAGGTGCAGCCCAGCAGGTATGCCGCTTTCTGGGCCCATTCGTGACGGGCAAACTGCCGACGTCCCGCTAAAAAAAATAAAAAATAAAAGTGAAAAATGTGTTCAAAATACAAGACGAGGACCTGAAGGAGACGGGTTATGAAGATGGCGGGTACAGAGACGTGAGGAGGGTCGAGGATGAACGGGGGGAGGAGAAGATGCTTAAACAGAGACGTGTGCTGGAAGAAAACTTGTGTGTGTGTAGTCACTGTCAAGCTGCGTGATGCTTGTGCGTTTTCTGAGCTATAGCTAACATGAACAGAACTGAAAATGCTCTGTAAGAGAACAAAAAGAGTATCAGCCACAGTCTTAGCCTTTAATCCAGATAAGAATTTCTCATGGCAGGTCTGTGCAGTTCTTCCAAAAGAGATATTTTCTCTGCGTTGCTGACGGGAGTGGAAGGCATGGGACTGTGGGATTTGTGCAGAAACCGCCGGTTAAGGTGTTAAGATTCATACCTGAGGTTGAGTTCTGCTATCAGCAGAACATTTACACTCACCGAGCACTTTATCAGGAACACCTGTACACCTGCCTGTCATGCAATTATCTAATCAGCCAATTATGTTGCATTGAAGTGAATTAAAGAAAAACTCTAGAGTTTTTTTAATCACTGTTTTTACTCAATTCACATCTATGGATGTCACAGCAAAAGTAAAAAAGTGTTTCCTTAATTTCATATTTTAATAGGCATTAAAGATTATACTTTATAAAAGAACAATAATCCATCAATAGATACTTCAAATTTAAAAATGGATTTACAAAAGCAGCATAAAACACTTATTAAATAAACCATTCATAAATAGATTTATTAATTCGAAATGGGAATATCCACGTGGATTCCATCTTTAATTTCCATTTTCTTTTTCCAGCTGCTTTTCTTTTTCCTGTTAGCTAATCGATTAGCTTAGTCATTTAGCTTGCCCACTCGTTAGCTCTTCAACCAATCAGAGAGCTTGTTACATCCCATGGCTAACTGGGATTGTTTAACCTGGTTTTTACCAGCAGAAACATGAGCGCGGTGATTAAAACGCATCATATGTTTATCACTGAAAGCATTTCATACAGCTAAACTGATGAGGTGGAAAACACATTGAAAACAAGACTACCAAGGCTGATTCAGACTGCTAATCACTGTGGATCATTTCCTGACTCTCAGCTGCATGAATGTCGGTATGAGAAGTGCATCTCCATTTGGTCTGGAGGCAATTCAAAGCCCATGTGTTAGACCGAACCATGGCAACATGACAGCCTGCGCAGCCAGCAAATCAAAGAGCCGAGACACAGAGCCAGTGATTCAACAGGAGCCCCTGCCAAGCAGAAACTTTGTGGGGATACAAGGGGTAAGCTGGGAAATACAAGTTCTGTAGTAGAAAGTCCAAACACTAACTAGAGAAGTGAAAATGAACAAGCGTTACTTTGCTTTTGTGACTGTGTTGTAGTGTGACAGCGGCTCGGGAGCTGAATGTGGGCGACATGCGGAGGCATCAGACAGAGAGGAGTTTAAAAGGGACAGCAAAGTTCTGATCCCCGTGATTTTTCATCTCACAAAAAAAAAAAACAAAGCAGAAAAGGGTGAGACGGGGAGAAACTGTCTGGAGGCAAACACGAAAACACAAGAGAGGAGGTGAGGAGAGGAAGGGGAGGAGAGGAGAGGAGGGGGAGGAGAAGCAGAAACAATAAAAACGCTAATGACTTAAGGCCTGGGAGGAATGATAAAGGCATTAAGACAGAAAACACAAACAAGGGAGGCTCTGAAAGAAAGTTTTTAAATGAAAAACAGTCAACAACTCGTGTGTTCTTTTTCCATTTACCTTCATCTCCGTCTGCGTTTGATAGGGCACGGCATGCAAACATGCAAGTAAAGAGAGGGGGTTAGAGATAACACAGTTCATGAATTCAGCAATTCACAGTGACAGGAAAAAAAAAAACATAAACATTAGTATTAAACAACACTGATAATCCACCATCATGCTTTGAGAGAGAGAGCTGAGACGTTAGACGTGAAACCACAGGCCCCTGGTTTGTATTAGTGGATGGTAAACAGTAGCTCTATAGAGTGGCAGATCTTCAGGGGGTTTTCACAGACATGACATTTAACTCATCTGAAAGAGCGTCCTCTAAATAAGCCGACATTCAATAATATCGTATATATAAGCCGTTGTACTTAGTGTGGTTGTAGTTTAGGTCCGAACTGAAGTGACTGTGTGAAGAGACGCATCAGGATCTGGGCGGTTTACCGCCTCAGCCACGGTTTCCTGCAGCTCCGGAACAAGCGATTATTTGGACGAGTCGACACTGATCCGTGTGATCGAGCTCAAAAAATGAAACGTGTCTGAAAAAGTTGACGACGTCCAGGTCGAGACACAGCTCTGAACTGTTTGAAACAACTCTGATTCTGTGCAGCCAGAAAACCCTCTCCACATACTTCTGTGTACTTTTGGTTCGGGTCTGTTTTCCTTGAGTCCAACTTTGTGGCACTTTTAAAGCCTTTTCCCAGTTTGGTGTGGAAGAACTTGACTGACCTGCACTGAGCCCTGACCTCAACACACACACACACACACACACACACACACACACACACACACACACACACCCCACTAACACCTCTGGGTTGAACTGGAAGGCTGACAGAAAGCCAGGCAGGAACATCACTGAAGCAGTGGAGCAAATCCCCTTGCAGCCAGGTTCCTGAATCTGGTGAAAACACTCTTGAAATCTCTGACAGATATCTCATAACCTGGACAAATAAAACCACAACTATCTGCATGGTTAGAGACCCCCAGAGCGAGGAAACAGTTTTTGTAATCTGACCCTTTAAATTGGCGCAGCAGGAGCTGAAAAATCAACCGGTTTAAACTGCCCCTAATGGTCTCGGTCCTGAGCTGATGCTGCCGTCTTCATGCCGACTGGGAGTGTGTGCATTCAAATGTCAAGTCTGACACCTAGTGGCAGTTTGTAGATTGTTATTTTTGTACCTGTATGAAATGGATTTGCATTCAATTCTGCAGTTTCTGGTGAACTGAGCTGGGTCATGTTGTCATTAATGTTGAGGTAATGAGGTGAGGGGCATGAATACACGGCTGGCAGGACGAAGTAATTTGCTGAGTATAAATGGATAAACTGAGTGTTCAGAGACGAGAAAATAAGAGTAAGAACTCAATTTTTCCCTCAAAATATAACTGACTTGAAAATGTGCTAATTTTTATTTACAGTGTAAAAGGCATTAACCTCCTAAGACCCGAACTCTTGCATGGCGTGCATTTTTAATTTCTCTTTGCTATTTAGGCTGATTGGGACCTGATGAGTGTAACAACAAAGAATTATGTTTTTACATGATGTAGTTTCTGAGAAAAATGATGTCCACATATGAGGACATTCGTCTTCAATTTAGATAGAAACCAATAAAGTCACAGTTGAGTAATTATGTAAAACTATTTATTTGGNCCTTGTTGAGAAAAAGTTAGTATTGTGGTCTAGAGAACCCAAAATGTGACGTCCACATATGTGGACGCCAGGTCCTAGGAGGTTAAGGCAACAAGTCAACATCAACCAGTTTCAGAATAAGAGGCCCCACACAGGAAAAACATCCTCTGGTAAGAACGCCTTCACAATAAGAGCTTCCCAGTTCTGTAAAAGTTCTGCTATTATTATTATAATTATATTTATATATATGTTATAATTTTTACATGTTGTGAATTTTACTTTTGTTCTAATAGTTAATTTAACATCTGTACGGGGGACGACAGGAAATTAGCATTTTGGCTAAAACTGGCACATTTACAGGGATGTTGATTAATGTGTTGTACAATAAATTAAATAAATAAATAAATAAATATCAAAAGGATTCTTTGAAAAGTCTGAACACTCAGCAATTCCCAAATCAAACTTCTTCTCCTCTGCAGAAAACCAGAGAGCAACATTTCTCTTGATGTGCCTAATGAGTGGTGAAGTGAGCTTTAATGTCCGGTATCTTTCAACTGTTCATTTCATTTAAAAGCCTTGCAGGATGAGAGTAAATGGACTTCACAGTGCTTTAGTGCTTTAGTTAATCTTTCAGTATTTTAGTATAAGAAAATGTATGTTCCTTTGTGCCCTTGTGCCTTTTCTGCTTTACCTGTCACACAGTGAAGTACCACGCACAGGTTCGGTGTCTGTGTTCTCATCATGTAACGACCTGTCAGGTAATGAGACGTCACGAGCTCTCGATGTGTCAGTCAGTTGGGAGTTTCCTACCTTTAGTGGCTCCTGCGGCCCCCAGGTGGTAAATGGACCCCAGGATGAGCCAGAGGGCCTTCTGCTCTTCGCTGGAGATGCCCAGCACCTTCATGGCTGCCTGCAGCTTGGTGAACTGCTGCGCGGCTCGCTGCTTGTCCTCAGGCTGGAGGAGATCAGACCAAAAAACGTTACTGATCTCAGGGGAAGGTGAAACTTCTATTCAATGGAACCTTATCTGAAATGTTTATTTCTTTTATGGGTCATCGGGAGCAAAATGAATATCAGCTGATACGTCACTGGGTTTTTTAAACTCTCAAATATCAGTATCAGTGTCGGTCGGGCTGTAATACAGGACGCAGGAAAAAGACATTAAGGAAATACGAAACGAAACCATGACAACAGGCTCACTTCAGTGCGATTACCTTCGACTGTGGAACGATCCCAAAAGCGCTGTTCTCGGCCAGGTGGTTAAAGTGCAGCTCAGTTCTGGAAGAGAGGGTAGAGGTGTTAAAGGTCAGACAGCTCCTCTGTGCCGGTGAAATGATGGCGCCCGTGGCTGCTTGAATTTTAACAACAGTGGCCCTTGATTTTCGCAGACGGCGGTGGTGTGTTTCGGTGTCTGTCGACTCTGAGCTGGTTCAGTCACTTTTCGAACATTAGTTAGTATCTGAATATTACATGAAGACAAATGCAAACATGATATTTTAATGAAGATGTTATCATGGCTGAACCCTTATAAGGAAGGAGCACTAGATCCACATCAGCTGTTTCCACCGACATAAACTGATGCTTTTAAGACCTGACTGTCAAAAGGAGGTTTTATTGACCAGCTGATTACAGGTACACTGCCGCTATGTCCCCACCTGCTGCACTGCATTTACCCTCTGCCATTTTATTTGAGTGTGAAGTGTGAAATGTTTTGCACTAGACCTTTAAACATTCTTACAAAGAAGGTCAATCCTGATTCCTGAAATCATCTCCACAAATTTTACTGGAAAAAAAAGAGCTAGAGAGAGTCACCTCAGGGTGCTGTCAGCTCCGGCCATCATGTAGTAGAAGATGTTGAAGGTGGACTCTCCCTCGGGTCGCCTGCTCACCCTCAGTTTCTCCAGCAGCATCGTCTGAGCAGGAGGAGACAACAAGAGTCAGTGTGTGTGTGTGTGTGTGTGTGTGTGTGTTGTGCACGTGCGTGCGTGTGTGTGTCACCTGGATGGAGGCGGAGGCCACCTGCCCGGCCTGGTCGAAGTCGAGGGACACCACGTGGGAGAAGTGGCTGGCGTTAGTGTTCATGGAGGTGGAGCTGTTGCCAAAAGCTTCCAGGATGGTGTAGACGGCCTGCCACTTCTCAGCTGTGACACACACACACACACACACACACACACACACACACACACACACACAAAAACACACATTTCAGGACAGACAGCCATGATGACGGTAGTAAGTCTGGAGCAGCTAATTATACACTGTTCTGCTCTGTAACCTCGACCACTTGTGATCAGCATGGAGAATAAAACACTAAATCATTTCTGTTTATTGCAACGTGGGAAATATTTTAATAGTTCAGGAAAAGAAAACACAGGTAACTGTCTGCTGTAAAAATCCCTCACAGTTTCAACTTTGACGTCATGTACCTGCCACAGTTGTGCACACACAGTTTCCCCTGTGCAGTGATGTTGTACTCAGTTTTACCTCCAAATAAAGTGGTTTAAAAGAATCTACAACTACACTTCAGAGTCTACTGCACATGTATTCATGAGTCGTGTCCCCCCTCCCCTTTTCCCGTCTGCAGGCTCACCAGAGAAGATTTTGCCCGTGCTGCCGGCGATGGAGACCAGATACTGGAGCAGGTGCTGGCAGTTGGTGGTCTTGCCGCTGCCAGACTTTCCCAGCAGCACGATGGACTGATCCTGCCGGGTGGTGAGCAGGTTGCGGTAGGCCGACTGGGCCACGGAGTAGATATGAGGAGCCGAGTCCTCGCGCCGACAGCCTTTGAACATGTGCATCACCTGATGGGGGAGGAAGAGAGGGGGCGGAGGGAGATACGCACAGCGGGGGAAGGAGAAGAAGGACAGTGACAAAAACAGAGAGGAAATAAATCAAAAGTTAGATGTATCAGACACGTCTAACCGCTGAAAGAAGGCACCGTCCAACACACAGTCGCCATAGTTACGATAAAAATATATTTAGAAATAGATAATGTTTCTACGGAAGCCCAGAGCGCCAAGTGTTTTTTTTTTGGGTTTGTTTTTGTAAAGCTCCTTCCAGCATTACGTCCTATGTCTCCTTCATGTCACACCTGTTTTTTGTTACGTAATGTCACCAATAAATACAATTTTTGAAATAAATTATTAAATAAATAAATAAAAATACTCATTTTGGCCAAAGGAGGCTGTAAAAAAACATTTTTACATTCCACTCCAAAACGTTTGTTTTTGTAATACTCGTTTCGGCCACAAGAGGCTGAAGTGCGCCCCAGTCTACTACCCAAGTCTAAACAGGACTGAAAGTACATGCATGTTTTTTTTTCTGGGTGATTTTTAATGTCTCCGTGTTCTCTAAACACAAGGTTCATATATTGTGTGTTAGCGAGTTATGTAAAATTACTGCCATGTCTTTCTTTTGAGTCTTTCAGCCAGAAACGCTTCAGGAAGTCAGGAGAGATAGTATAAAGAGCTGCACTGTTTAACATAGGACTTTCACTGGAGTTTGAATCTTGAATATTTATTGACAATTTAAAATGAACCTGTCACTCTAAAAGCCAGTGGTATAAACACAGTAAGCTGCTGTTGTGGCCCCAGTCATCGGTCCTCAGCTTACCTTCTCAGAGTACATGGAGGGGGTGCTGAGGGGGTTGATGACCACCATGTTGGGTCCAGCGTAGGTGTGAATGAGGTTGCCTCCGTAGCGCTGCCTCAGACAGTTCATCACGCTGGATTCATTCAGATAGAGCAGCGAGGCCAGGTCCTCGGATCGGTCGTACGATGGAGGGTTGGCCTGCGGACAGAGAGAGAGAGAGAGAGATAATGACGGGATTCAGGCACCAACGGATAGATGAGTGACCTTTAACCTTGTCACGGGGGAAAACCCTGGACTATTAGTGTGAAGTGAAGTTAGCCCGAGGTCTGGTGGTGCTGTAAAATGATCCAGGGACAAAACTGCGTCTGGGTTCAAGCGGTTAAGGGTCAAGCAGGTGGCATCAGCACGGAGAGGCACTGTCTGGGGAAACACCAGAGGAAACTAGCAGATGCCTGTCGTGCTGAACTTCCTCTTAAATCTTAAACCTAAAGTCTTAAATCAAACTGAGCTTCTCAATGGGAACCGACTCACACTGGTTCGCTACCATTATCTCCCACTCACCTTTTCTATGTCGTCTTCATCCACATCCAGTACTGTCCCATCATGCTCCAGTTTGATTTTCACCTTGCCCTCTGGCAGGGCGCCGGCCTCCGTCTTCACCACGGTGGCTGGGCAGAGAGGAGACAGGAAACACAGACAGCTGTTAGCATCTGTTTATCTTAAACGGGCTAATTAAAGCCAAAACCAAAGCAGGACTAGTTTATGATTTTTAAACTTTGAACTCCTATTTAACACTTGAAACATATAATTATTAATTATTTAAAAAAAAACAATGGAAACATAAATATACAGAATTAATTAACATATTTAAATCCAGCAACGATGTGAGAGCAGAAGGAAACAGAATCCCAACATAAGCAGGTGAATATCTAATTTCAGACAGTAATAAATAAACTTTCTCCATGAAAGTGATAAAATTTGGATGTTTTAGATTCTTTTGTTATTTGTTCCTTTTATTTCGTTCATCTGCGACTCCTCCACAGTTCATATAATACATAACGATACCAGTGAATATATCTGGTTATTATCCCTCATACAATTCAGATAAGTTACAAATTACTAAAAAATATAAACACATTTATAAATTAATTTAAATCCTATTACTTATGTCACAGATTTGCAGTAACAAGATTATATTTAAGTATTTCAAATGGGATTTGTTTTTAAAACCTCAAATTTATTCACTTGTTATTGTTTCTTTAAATTTCCTACAGCTGAATGATGATGATGACGACGAAGATGACGCTACACATACATAAAAATCAAGTAATCGGGTCTCACCCAGGGAGAAGCCATCTTTGTGGACGAGCCAGACTTTCTCTGATCCATACCAGGCTTGTTCAGCTGCGATCTGCTCCTCTGTCTTCACCTGGTGGACAGAGAGGATGAGGAAGAACAATGACTGGGCAGCAGGTGAGGAGGAAGATGATCACTGTCAAGTCACATCACTGGACCACTCAAGAGTCACACTCGGTCTCTGTGGAACCGCCAGCGTTTCCACTTTGATACCAGCACATGCTGAAAGGTTATGGAGGCAAAGGCCTTGTCAAGATGAAGACCATGCAGTGGATGACAGCGGACTCAAAAGGTCTCACAGTCCTCTGAGCTCCGCATGCTCCTTCAGGGTGGTGTGTATGACTGTGTGTGTGACTGTGTGTGTGAGTGTGTGTGTGAGAGAAACTTCAAACCAGAAACACTCAATATAACAAGTGTCAGGGGTGTGTGAGAGAGAGAGAGAGAGACAGAGACAGAGACAGAGACAGAGACAGAGAGAGAGAGAGAGAGAGAGAGAGAGAGGGGTTCAACAGGAACCTGGCGACCACAATAAAACGGGAATAAACAATCAAACTCAAATAATAAAAACAAGCAAATAAACAAAAGAAATGAAGATAATTTTGGGATGCAAACCCAAAGAACAAATCGAGTCATAACTATTTATGACTACTTTAAATGGGAAAAGTAAACAAGACACACTGAACTTCACAAGCAAAAGGAAAAAAAAAAAGGGGGGGGGGGGGGCACAGCACAGCACAACACTCCACAGTGCAGGTGAATACGGGACGAGCTGGTGGTGAATTACACTCGGGGCACAGTGCAGGCCAGACCTGAGACTGCTTAGCTGCAGCATGAGATGCCTGAAGGAGGGCCACAGGATCCTCTTCCACTGATCCCTGGTGATTTGTCCAGCATGAGGAGGTCAAAGGTCACAGTTATATATGAGCAAGACATGCATGCAGATACATGTAATCTGTCATTTTTATCCAGCACATGTGAGAAGAGAAATCCGGTTTACTCTGTGAGCATGATCATCCATGAAAGGGCCTGTTATCATCCACTGAGTCAAAAGATTTACATTTTCCATCACAGACCAATGGATGCACCTGAACGCCACACAGCACTCACACAGATACCGCTTCACAAGCATGACCACACATATATATGTATAAACCACTGCCTCACTATGACCAATCTTCAATTCTTCATATACAAATCCCATGCAGGTTACTTCTATCTATCAGCCCGATGTGTTGTTAAAAGAAGCATTGCAACACGTGACAAAAATCTCAAGTGGAATCTGATCAGTTAAATCGTAGTAAATCAAGTTAAGGGTTTGATTAACGCTGATCAGATGTGGACATTAACAGGCTGACGGTTTTTTGTATTGGTCACAGTCTAATGCAGATGTTGGAAACACTGCAGACAGGGGAATTTGGGTAAAAAGGGAGGGAAAGGTAAAAGGATTGCAGGTGTTATACTCCACACAAGTACAAATTCCAGCCAGGGGGCCCCAGAGGAAGGACTGCTGTACCTGGAGGGAGCCCTGGGGCTGCGGGGCCGCAGGGGCCGCAGGGGCGGGGGCTTGGACAGAGGACGAAACACTGACTGCCGGCTCCAGCTTAGCCACAAAGCAGCCACAGAGAGACAGCGACAGCCAGCGAGTGCAGTGTGAGTAAAGCATGGAGAGAAGGAGAGAGAATGAGGGGGAAGGGGAGAGGGGAGAAGAAGACAAGGTCAACGTGGAAATATGAGCGTGAAAATAAAAAACTGGAGCATAATGGAAAAGTGAAAATGGCTTTGTAATAAGTAACCATGGGGTGGAAGGACGTAGGGATTAGTGAAACGTTACTTGAGAGAGAACGACATGCTTTCAAGCTGGAGAACAGAGTCAGAATGGAGAAAGTAAATCATCACTAAATGGTTAAGTACCGAGCTCTCAACCACAGCACTGTGGAAATCAATCTAGAGGTGTGTTATGGTTGTGACAATAAGTGCTCTTACACAAGGGGCTTGTACACCCAGTTCGAAGTTTAGAGGCCTATCGAACCTATTCTGACAGCTGAGGCCAGCCAATAGACTGCAGACTTTCAAAGTAAAAGTCATGTTTGTATTTCTACTATTTTGTTGAAAAAGAAACATTCAATTACAGAGATTAAAATTCTGTAACGTGTAAATCCATTCACACTTTCAGACGCCGTCAGTTTTCTGCAACAGTGTTTGTTTCAAACTGAATCAACGTAGTTCTGGTTTCCTTCCCTCCTCCTCGTTCTGCTCGGTGTTTAAAACATTCAGGCAGCAGCTTGTCGTTCTTAGCCCTTCGGCATTTGGATCAAGTAGCTTGTGGAAGTAGGGGTGTGTCAGATTTAGCAGCCTACAGCTGTTACTTCAATGTGTCAGATATAGAGTGTATTCAATCAACATTTTTAGGTAAGTAAACCATCAAAATGTCAAACTCAGTATCGAAAGATTCTTGGATGGGATCAAAGGAAAACAAACTTTCCAATAAGTCTACCAAAGCAAGCCAAGGGAAGGAGTCCAAATCTTCAACTGGGAAACTGAGATCAGTCATAGTTGACAGATAAGTAAAATGGTAATGGGTACGTAAGTAAGACAAGTGTGGGATGAAACCCAGAGAATCAGAATTAGAGAAATAAAGGTTAGAGGAAACCAAGTCAGGAACCAGCAGAGGGCAGAACATGCAGACACCATGGTAACACCTTCCTCTGTTGTATGTCTCTGTGAGTAAACACCAGTAACCAATGAGCATGGTAGGCATGGTGATTAATTGGTGTAACATCAACAGACAAACATAAAACACAGAGAAGACATCAACAATATACAGATGGACAGCCGGGCGATTTACAGGGGCACCGAAGATCCTCATCAGTCGTCTCTGAGCCTCCTCGGTGGGACTGAGCGGTGCCTCCTACAGGTCAAAGCAGCAAGCAACACATTGACACTGAAGCCCACTGATACAGATGAAGCAAAGCCTGTGACTACAAACAAACTAAAAGTTATGAAAACACATAGATATGCGATTTACTCCTCTTACAAATCAAAGACCCTGTCAGCCACAGCTGTCTGAAATCGTGCTTCTTACAGGAAACTCAGTCTGCACACACACACACACACACACTTCCTGTCGTCAACATGACCAGTGGCAGTTTGGATTACTGTGCAATCTGATTTTTAAAAAGCCAATGTTAAAGGAGAAAATGCAGGAAGGTGCTTCAAACAGCATGCACACAAGAAAATCAATGGATTCCACACACGACATAATACAATTTTCTGGTTAAGCGAAAAATATTTGTTAGATTTGCATCAAATCAAGCCAAGCAAGTGACAAAATACCCCTTCAACCAGAGGGCAAACACCCAACCCTAATCCAACACACATATTTATCCTGCACCGAGGTGAAACAAGATTTGTCTGTACAATCTACTACAGCCCTCCTCCAAAATACCACACAGTAAACGGTAAGCTTTGGGAATGTAGCAGTGGATTCTCTGTCCTGAGGTAAACTAATACCCAGTCTTGGTCTTGACCGCACAGCTCTACTGAAACTGTGTCGGCCATCTGTGAACTTCCTGGAGAGTAGTGCTGCGTGGCTTACCGCAAACACCTCTGTAGTCTCTAACAAATAAACAATGACCTCGTTCTTGAAGCCACACTGACAGACATATTGCATACAGTTTTTGTCCGAAGGTTCTTTGATAAGAGTTATTACAGGAAAAGACGTGGAGTCATTAAAATTAAGTTTATCCCCCCTTTGGGAGCAAAATGTTATCAGCAAAAGTTTGTGGGATTCCAGCCATTATTTTACAAGACTCACAACAAGGTGGGAAGCACCAATGTTTATACCGTATTCCACGGTAGTCTGCTAGTCTTATCTTACTCTAGTTTAGTTTAGCAGCTGCCCAAACCAACATCTTTATGACTCTGAGACCTTAATCTGACCCAAGCTTATTTCTTTGCTTTATTTGATTGATTACTGACCTTTAATTCTAACGCAAAGCCTCGGCTTCACTCTTTCCCTCTAACCGATGCACATGGGGAATCAACTTTCAACACATAGCTCACGGATGCCGAAACCCTTTCTTGTTCTGGACGGAAGTTTTGGACAGGTGAACAGGTGGACAGCAAATGAACCAAGTGACATCACCAACCTTTTGGATCTGCCACCATTGGCTCAAAAGAAAAACATTTCCCCAGTGAACTCTTCCCTCGTTATCATGAAGAAAGGTCATTAATATTTCACGTCAGTTCGACAGTTTGTGCTTTCAGTGGCTATCAAGTGACTGTAGAGCCGTGCCACACCGAGGTTACACACTTGCGTGGAGTCTGCAAATAAACACCGCGGTGCTCTTTTATTTCAAACATGCATTTCAAACGGCCATGCATTTTCCACACCAATGTCTCAAATGTTGACCAGACATGCGAAGTGTGGACGCTGTACTGTACCTCTTGTTGACTGACAGTAGGCTGTTGAGTGCGAGTGACTCCCGGAGGGGGAGACAGTGGACCAGGAGTGGGACGGGGAGGACTCACGGGAGTTGCGAGTTGAGGAGTTTTAAGGGCTGGGATGAAACGTGGTGTCGGAGAGAGGGGGGAAGATTTTGGGGCAGCTGAGGAGGTAGAAGGTGGATTTGCTGGGGCGGGTTTTGTGTCAGCAGCTGGTTTAGGTTTAGGTATGAAACCAGGAGGTGAAGACATGGGTAAGGGTTTGGAGGCGGGGATAAAGCCAACAACCGGAGGGAGAGATGAAGGTCTGGAATGAGTGGATTTGGAAGAAGCCGGAGCTGCTGGTTGGGGCGAAGCCTTATTGGTTGGGGTTTCAGGAGCCACGGGAGATTTGACCCTCTGTAAAACTGGAGCAGAACTTGTGAGTTTCTGATTGACTTCCTGTGGTTTTGTGGTAGGCTTCTCCTCTTTGTGCTCCTCCTTTGTTTCTTCCTGCTCAACTTTTTCTACCACCTTCTCATTTTTCTTCTCCAACTCTATTCTTTCTGGTCGTTCCTCTTTCTGTACTCGCGGGCGGGGCTCCCGTGTTCTGCCTCGGATCATGAGGTTCTTCAATCCTCGTGAAATATC